CAGTGCTGGGATCATTCAAGAATTGTATGATAACAATGTCATCATTTCGGTTTGGAGACTGCGCTCATTTGTCAGCGCCTTTTGAAGCCTGGTTGCTTCCGGGCGCAACAACTTCGCACAGCACTCTGCAACGCACTTGCAGCCAGATGGGCATGGATGAAAATTAAGCCATCAGAAGAAATTCAGGTTTTAGTCCATGATGTCCATGGTAGTTCTTGTTTCCATGCACCGGGGTTCCATTTGGGCTACCTATTTTCGACCGCCCAGATCGCCCGACGGACTTTTCGTTTTGCACCGTCAGCAAAACGCCCTGAAGAAGCTCTCGGAATCGAGAACCTCGAGCTCCGAGGCGCGTGCGGCGATGGGTGGTGCTCAAAATTAAACGATCGGAGGGGCAAACCGCAGGTTTTGGTCCATTCCACCAGGGCAACCCATTTTGGAATTCCGGTATTTTGAGCCACAGCCAACGCAGCCAAATGGGTGCAAGAGACGTTTGGCTGTGGTTGTCAAAACCGTTATGGGATCCCATTTTGGGGCAAAAGCCAATGCCATTTTGGGGGCGGGTGCACCCATGTTAGAACCTATTTTAGTGGGGATTGGGATGTTCGCTGGGGGTACGATTTGGATTTTGACCCATACCCATTTTTGTACGTGTACCGGATGTCAACTTGAATCAGCTTCCCGAAGTGTCATCAACTTGTGCAGTCTGCACATTTTGCGGTTCAGCGTTGCGATTCGGTGCAGTGCCCTGTGCGTCTGCGCGTTTCCCTGTGCAATGCCCGTTGCCGCGCCGTGCCCATTGCCGTGCCCTGCGCCGTTCCTCGTGCGTGCGGTAACCTTTCCTGTGGAGGCTGTGAGCGTGATATCTATACTGCGCTCCAGCAACCAGCTCAGCTGCAGAGAGCCAGAGGCCCATTTCGTGCTTACGCAGAGGTCGCTTGTCCAACTTCCAGTGTGTCTATTCATGTCATAACAGAGTGGCCGAGGTACACCATAATGATCTCTTTTACGTCTCGAGCAAGCTTGTGGCAGAGCTCACTTGCGCTTTTCGCGGACATGCAGGCGCGAGCCCCAGATGTGCAAGTCAATCTCTGCTCAAGTCAACACAGAACTTCCATTTGGTTAAGCATATATCTTATTTTCCCCTGTTGGTTTTAAAGGGAATCTATCACTACTGGATGTTTGTCATTCTTTCCAGGGGACCTAAGCATGGAGGAGAAGTGTGCAACACCGCTGTGCCAACGCAGACCATGCGCAGCTTTGTAGCCAACTCTTGAGTGTGAATCGAAGGCAGTGGAAGTCACGCCAGACAGCACAGCCTTTGCCACAGCCATCAACGGCTGCCGCAAGACGAAGCCACTTGGTGTGAAGTCCATGTGGGGATACGCCGGGGGATGCAGGGCGCCGCAACTCGAGCATGCAACAGCGATTTGCAGCTTTGCATGGTGAGGCCAAAAATACCTCACCAGGTCCCAGAAAGCGACCGTCATCACATGTGTTCAGTCTGTTTCACCTCGACTGCAGTATTTTGCGAAGCTTCTGAGGCGGTGGCAGCACGCTTTGGGTCTTTTCCAAGACATGAAGAAACAGGAGGTGGGATTTGTATCTCGGTGAAGTCAGAAGTTGGCGTGAGCTGTCGCTGGGAATGTTGTCTGGCGTATGTCTTCCGGGACAATGGTAGAGCCAAGCTGAGCCACAATCAAAACCCGGGTAAGTGAAGGTTAGTAAGGGACAATCCCAGCCATAAATAGCTGCGACCGCCTTCTTAATTCTTTACATGGTTCTGGGTCGACCATTGAAAAAAACCGGGTTTTGATTATGACTCAGGCATCCCCGAAATGTGTGTGTGAGCACGCCTGAGGCCCAGGGCGCCAGGCGAGCGCGTGCAAGCGTGTGCGTATGCGCATGCGCGTGCGTGACTCCCGGCCCCCCAAGCCTCCCCACCCATGGCAAATATATGCTCACAACTAAAAGTTGTAATATATATATATATATACATTCATATAGCTAAGCCCCCCGAAACCTGCCTTTTCCACAAAATACCTACCCAAAATCTACTTGTTTGCTGTTTTAGCGTTGTGCTGCCCAATGTGGGTAAGTTCAGAAGGCCAAGGGTGAGCAAGCATTTGGCATTGCATTCAATCACTTCCCGTTATGTCTCTGCAGTCTAAATCTTGGCATTCTATTACCGAATATATGTTTAAGCTAGGATAGCTGGGTTCGTTGAGGCGGCTAGTGCTCCCGTGCCATGTGCGGTTTCGCAGTTTTTGCTGAGAAGATCCTGACCATTCTTCACCTAGGGGTCCCCACCCCTCTAGAGGCTCATGCCCGGCCGTTCCTCAGCTTCATTCAACATGTTTCCCCAATTTGCGCAATTTTTCGAGTCCCATAGTGTTGTGTGTGTGTGTGTGTGGTTTTGTTTTTTGGCCACAAGCGCAACTATGTGCGCCTACTGCTTGGCAAGTTGGGGAGAGCAGTGCCAGGTTTATAGCACGTCTAGTAGTTTGGGAACGTGTAGAGTAAAATGAGGCAAATGCAAGATACAACTCGTGGTTCAGCTTCACGCAGCTATTCTTGACCCCGAGAGCGCTTCTGCGCTGTTCTCTCGCTGTGTCCGCTTAAGTCGCAAGGATCAGTTTTTGGAGCCTGCGTGTCTTGGGGAGTTGCTGGCCGCCGGCCTCGAGCGACAGGTAGCTCCGTCTCTGTCCACGTTGAATGCGCCTCAGATGCAGCAATTGCGAACAGGGCAAAGCCGGAGCTCAATGCACGGGAGTTGATGCTTGCCATTGATGAGGCCTTGATCTCAGTTTGCGGGGAAGCAGGGCGCTGGAGAGATGTGCTGCAGCTCGTCAGACCTTGCTACCGCGCGTTGCCGTGTTGAGCAAGCTGCGGCTTTGGCACTGCGCATGGATCGCCGTTGCGTTTTGTCCTGAATGGGAGCCCTGGAACAAAGAATTGAGGACTGCCTTCAGCGAAGTACTGAACTACACGGTTCGCCACGAGCTTAGTTTGGGGTAAGCGGCAAACAGCGCGGGGTCACGCTGCCTTCCGCAGGGCCCAACCTCGTCAGTTTCAACAGCTTGCTCGACGCGGCGGCTACTGGAGCGCGGGGTGGCCTATAGGCAATTGCCCTCCCAAGGTGCACGGTGCGCAAGTTGTCCCAGACATGTCACCAAATGCACCTGCTTTTTCCGAGCAGTCTGCTGAGCCTGTGTACTTTGCAGCGCTCTCAGGCAGTGGCAATTGGCCTTGGAACTGATGCGAGGTGCACGCGAGGCCGGAGGGCCATGAGGGCTGGGTGAATCATATTCCCACGCGGGTCCTGCGCATGACGCCTGGTGCCAAGTTGGAGCCGTCTTAGCGAGCTGCAAAGATTCAGTAGTGACTCGCACTGTCTACTTCAGGCTGTCAAATTCTGGGTTTCAGGGTCATAAGGCCGTGAACAGCGGAACTGTGCGCCAGTTTCGCGCACGCTTCAGCGGCTCCGTGGTCCTGAACGCTTTATTACGGATTCGCTGCATGGGGTACCAGTGCCATCAAAGGTCGACTCATCGTCCCATTGTGTCAGTTACCCAGTGCCAAGCGCACAATGTCCTGTGATCCCGAATGTTGCATAGCGCAGTGACAACACAAGAACAAGGTGGTGTTGCAGAATGTGAAAGTTGCGGTCGCGAGATGGAGTCCAAAACAAGCCCACAACGAGCGCCCTGCGTTTGCTGCTTGAGCCATTGTCGAGTTGCGCGTTTCCTCCAGCGCTTCATTTGCGAGCTGCGAAAGTGGCGTACTTCGAGTACTGTACTACACTTGTACAAAAATGAGCTCAGGTGATATCCTTAACAGCCCTCGCAGAACCTCGTGGAACCCTCGTGGAACCCTGGTGGAACCCTCGTGGAACCCTGGTGGAACCCTGGTGGAACCCTGGTGGATCCCTCGTGGAACCTTACCTCAGGGCCGCCCCGGACCACCCCGGAGCCTATCTGGGCTAAGACCCCAAAGCTTTCAGTTGTTGGGGAGAAAAACAGGTTCAAATTTCGAGCTGCAGCTTGCAAAGTGCCTTGCAATTAAGACGTGTGATTGCCACGTTGGCCAAAGTGTACTTTGCCTTGTATTGAGAAGTTGCAAAGTTCCAGTAAGCTCGTTTTTGCGATGTTGGCAAAGAAGCTCGGAAGCGACGCTCAGAATACTCCCCTGGCATGCACTCACTTCCCGCTCCATCGCAAGCCCTCGGTTCCGGATTGCGTAATGTGGGCTTGGGCACGCCGTGACGGGTTCGAGTTGCTCTCCAACAAAGCCAAGACAGGAGGCATGACAATTCTCGTTGCCCGTTGCGGGAAGCCTTGCCAGGCCTCCCACTTCAACATTGCCATGAAAACGTGCGCTGCGCCGGGCCCATGAAAAATTGCTGCTGCAAGTTTCAGGAAGAACAGCAAGCAAGCGTTCCATTGCGCTTGGCATGGGGCGGGCTACGGACCTTTCGCATTTTTGCGCACTGGAGGAAGCTTGAGATCCATGATGAATTTGGCCAGCCAGATAGGATCAGATCGGCCACGCTAGGTAATGTAGACTGATGCTGTTGCTCGACTGCCGTTTCTGAGGTCCAGATGCTGGAAGCAATGCTTGCAGATACTGAAGGAGCAGAGAAGCATTGATGTAGTTCTGTTTGTGGTTGAGTCACCATCGGATAACCGGCAATCAGTTCAGTTCTGCTGACGTGGCGCCAGGATAGCAGAGGCAAGCGCATTCCGCCGACGCCGACACAGTGCGCGGGATGGGGCAAAACGGCAAAACCATCACTCGGTTTGACAGAGCGTGCGCGAGGGCATCACAGTATGCGCCATAGCTGTCCTTTTTGGCTGTTTTGTAGAAAAATAAATGGCGATTCCTGGTTTACCTGGTGCTTAAATCATCTACCAGGGCCATCTATTTCCCCTAAAAGGAAACCTATGCTATGCGCAGCCTTCATTTTCAGGGATTCAGCTCGTCCGATTCGAGGCCGCCTGAGTCATTTTATCACCAGCCAAGCCTTGCGCGGGCCGCCATGGCCGAGAGAAAGCAGCTCAATGTGCTGGCGTGCCTCAGAAGAAATGGCCACCTGGAAGGCTGGGGGGCAGGAGGTAGGTACGGGTAGGGGTAAGTACTTTGCGGAACGCATTCGCAGCAAAGGCTGCTGACATTGTTTGTCTACTGCTTCGTCTATATCTAGTTTGCCGCAGCGTTGCAGGGATAAATACTACTGGGCGCAACAGTGCAGACATGCGCTTCACTGCGGAGAGAATGAAGTGAGTTAAGTGTCCAAGAACTGCCAACTGTGGCGGCGAACTGAGGTGCTGTGTTGGAACGCGGGGGGACGTCATGCCTGGTGTGGCAATTTGCAAAGCCTTAGAGGCCCGCGGTCACAAGGCCGGCGGGGCAGGACAGGGGTGTTACGCGACTAGCTGGACTGCTATTTTGTTGTCTGACAAGCTCCTTGCAACAGAAACAGCAGCAGCAGCAGCAGCAGCAGCAGCAGCAGCAGCAGCAGCAACACCCACCCACCCGCCCACCCACCCACCCACCCGCCCCCCCCCACCCACCCACCCACCCACCCCACCCTGACATGCGTGGTGCGCAAGCCATATCTATGAAACACTGTTCTGTTTCGCGCTTGACGGACGTCACCTGCTGCTGCTGCTGTTGTGCTCTTTCGTTCTTGATATTGTCTATTTTGGCGGTGGAAGGGGGGAGGGATGGGGGCATGCGGGGGTGCAGCAACATCTTGACTTGGTATGTGTGTGTGTGTGTGTCTCTGTGTCTGTGTGTGTGTGTTTGTGTGTCTGTGTGTCTGTGTGTCTGTGTGTCTGTGTGTGTGTGGTGCTAAGTCCTGCTTTTGCAACTTGGGGCTTGAAGCAAATCTGAAGGACTTCCAATGGTTTGACAAGAAAGGCTGTGCATTGCTGTGCCATGTTTGCCACGGTCGCCACATCACTTCGGGGTCAGGACTCTCCGAAAATCAACAATCGCGGATGGACATGGAAAGGGCCAGGTACAATGACGTTCCCAGTGCCTCCGCTGGATTCTGATTCAGACTTCAAGTAAGCAAGATATGCGTTCACAACATTGTGATTCGAGCAGCATCACAATGCTGCCGGCAACATCATGATGACACGGCGAGTGCAAATTACCCTGCGCTGCACGTGAGCACAGACCTCGTCATACTGGCTTCAACATCTTAGTGGTTCTGACAGCGTTGTGATGACGCCAGGCCACAAATCGCACACTGGTCTCCACAGCACCATGCTGATCAGGATAGTGCCGCAGCCACTCTCCATTATGCGCCACAAGAAGCGCAGGCAACATCCCAATGAGCTGGACAGCATCACGATTAGACAGTATCACGACGATACCCCAACCACCGCCGCCGGTGCCCCTAAACGACGTCCTCGAAGCGTCGCCGCAAGAGCCGCAGCAAAGTTGCGCACCTTGAGCGCTGCCTGCCTGCATTGACAAATGGGTGTGGCTCAAAATTAAACAGGAGGGGAAACGCAGGTGTTGGTCCATGTTTCCACTTACCAGGGCAACCCATTTTGGAATTCCTGTTTTTGAGCCACAGCCAAATAATTACCAGCAACTGCCGCGCCTTGAGAGCGCATCAAAAAGGCACCCTGAGCAGCGCCCTCGCCCCTGACTGTGCTTGTCAATTAAGCCTGGTGAAAGTGCTGGTCGACCAAGCCTGGTCCACATTGAAGGGCAGCCAAGATGACACCATTTTGAGAGGCTCCTGCTTTTGCCGACCTTCCACAGTGCTTCCAGCTGGGCTCCAGAGAATGTGTGTGTGTGTACATACATACGTATATATATATATATGTGTCTCTCGGCTGGTTTTGAACCAACGCCTTGCTTCTTGCCCAAATTTGTGGAACTGTGCCACACACCACATCTGCTGTTGGCCCAACTGTTTGGGGATTTTGGTGGGTCCTGGTCAATTACTGTGCCCTTTCATGGGCGCTGTCCCCCTTTGAAACCGCTCAAGCAAAATTGTCTATGTATATTCTTGACCCTTGGCGGGCCGAGTCCATACCTTTAAACTCTCCTGACCTAGTCCCATGTACTTGCGTTGTTTTTGGCTGTTTCCAACGTCAAACAACACAAGGCTTTCTTGCAAAGTCTTGTTTCCAACGCGCGATGTAGGCCCAGAGCTCAGCCAAACATCTTTCAAGGTTTCCCATCCGCCAGACCGCAAAAATTGTCACCCGAGCCCACCCGCATTCCCAAATTGACCTTGAGCTCTTTCAGGGAATGTTGCTTGAAACCTTGGTGGTCCAAGGCCAGAGTCGCTTCGAAGTGCGGAGGTCTCGAAACAGAACCCGCGCTTGCGGAAAGTCTTGCCCATTGCCAAGTAGACTTGTGAAAAACATGTTACAGAGCACATCCTGAACTGCTGGAGGGGGTCCTGCCAACATCTGAAGCTCATCATTGAAGCTGCGCAGGAGGGCGTAGGCAGAACGTTTCGGAAAGGTTGGCAGCTTCCACTGTAGTCATGTTGCTTGCTTGCGCAAAGCTCCTAGCCTCCGCCGAAACCTGAAGCTATGCCAAGTTTCTGCGAGGCTTAGGATGTTTGTTGACACCACAAACGCGGTCCAACAGCTGAAATGGGTTTTCTAGGAACGCAACGGTGTCAAGGGCTGCGGGTGGGGAGTGCTCGGGGCTTGGAAAGGCTTTTGATTCTAAAGCCGGTCAAAGCTTAGGTTGGGCTACCAACTTACGTGCCGCGCAGTTTTGCTGGGCAAGAAAAATGTTTGGTGGAAACCCGCCAAAGACTTGATAGAGATTCCGCTGGAGCCCAGCTGAAAGCAATGTGGGAAGGTGGCAAAAGCACGAGATTGTGTAGCCAATTAAGCGCTGGCCTTTCAAAGTGAGGCTTAGTCGGTAAGAAGCACTTTCACCAGGCGTAATTGGCAAGCAAGACTTTCACCAGGCTTAGCTTAGTTGGCAAGAAGCTCGTTCACCGGGCTTAGTTGGCAAGAGAACACGCTAGGCTTTATTTGACAAAGGCGTGTTCACCAGGCGCACGTGACAAGAACCGCTTGATTGATAAGAAGCCCTTTCACCAGGCTCAGTTGACAAGAATCACTTTCACCAAGCTTAAGTGACAAGAAGCACCACTAGGTTTGGAGGGCAAGACACACTTTGACTATATATATATATATATTTTTAGTTGACAAGAAGCGCGTTTGCTAGGCTTAGTTCCCAGCTCTTCTGCCGCTACATCGGCGCAAGCGAGCTCCTTACTAAAATCCGCTCCCAGCAAAAGTCCGCCAAGACAAACCAGTATGTGCTACAGTTTGCCACATTCTAGTGAGTTCAGCAGCGCCATGGTGATTTTGAAAGCATCAGGATGATACCACAGCCAAAAACCAGCACGTGCTACGTGTAAGCAGCACGTCATGTAAGCACAGACAAGCATTCTTCAGCATTGTGTTCGTGTGGGCGTCAGTGCGATACAGGTGTGCGCGCTGCAGGTCGAGTGAAATCCCAGGGTCGTTCTGGCGTATGACACGCTCCTCGCCAGGCAGCCATGGCAGTGTGCGCGGGCGTTGAGGAGTCCATTTGCGCGCTTCTTTGCAGCAAGCCGGCAGGCTGACAAAACCGACACAGCTCCTGTCCCATTCTTGCTTCCCCAGGATTGCGGAAGCGTTTTTCCAGTGTATGGAAACGCACTGGCTTTGTTGGTCGGAGTTGCAAAGATTTGATCTGAGTCCAGAGGTCAAGCAGTTTGAAAGATAGTACTGCCTGCCAAGCAATATGCCAGGGTTTGTGCAGCCAGCATTTGCTCTGTGATTGGCATGAACAAATCAAAGTCCTGAAGCAAAGGCATTTGTGCTTTTGCGCATGCATCTCATGTATACACATATAACATATTATAATATCATGTATGCAGTATGCATGTGTGGTGTATTCTGAATCATTGTACCCCAGGTACGGTGTGCGATGCATCACAGTGAGCCAGATTCCTTTCAAGTGGCGCGACGACACTGCTCAAATGTCCGACGAGGCCGGATGAGAGACGGGAGCTGATGGTGTTGCCGGTGTTGCCCGGCAACTTGCGAGGAAGTGCAGATTATGCGCCGTTCCATGGATCCTAAAGAGATCCTAAAGGTGGAGAACTGCCACGGCGTCAGCTGGAATCTCGACGTGGCTTGGCAGCCTGTTTGGCACTTGTGCATTTTGGGGGGAGAGTCACATCTCTGACTCGCGCAGGATTGCATGCCGGAGGCGCTCCGAGGAATGAGCAACTTGCTGGAGAAGGAGAGGGCCAACACAGTAGACTGCGGAGCTATTCAAATGTTGGGATATTGCATGGAGATTGAGTCCTGAGAGCAATGAGTGGCGGTTGCGCATGTCATTCTTTCAACATTGCGTGCGAACGCAACTGAGCGGCAGGAGCATTTTGACGTGATTTTGGGCACCAGCACCACTGGCCTTGACACATGGCTCAGACACGGCTGCATGAGCCAAGTCGCAAAGGTTTGCGATTTTTCTTTCTGGAGGTTAGGGCTTAGAGACGATCAACAGCTTTGAAACAAGCCACAGGGAGTGTTTAATAGCTGTTTAATTGCTGACAAATCAACCCAGGGCTGTGCTTGCTTGACAGTGGAATCGGCATTGCTACGTAGGGTAAATGTGGCAAGCGTGGAGTCTGAGGAATTCTTGACTTGTGATTGCCCACGCATGTCTCCAGTCCACTCTGAGGCGTGTCAGCGCTTGTTGAAGAAGTTCCCCCACCTGAAGATAATCCGTAGCACGTTCTCCTTTGGCTTCGGAGTGCCCCCAACTTCTGCCTGGCCCCCGGGCGGCTATGAGATGTCCCATGGCGACTTGCTTGCACGGCACTAGAATAGCCCAGCGACAGACCCCAAGAGTGATAGCAACTTCCCCGCTCGGGAAATTGTTGCAAGGCATAGGCGGGAATGGTCATGAAGCAACCTTAGCCCCCGCATCATAACCTTTGCCGCGAATGGACCATCGGGACAGCAATCAGATCCGGAAGATCACGCGGGACCTCACCGGAAGATCACCGGCTGCGCTTCCGGAAGCGCAAATTGGAACACAAGCGGCGCCGCACCCAAGCAGCCGGAACACCGCCGGCCCGAAGACCCCAACAAGCACCACTGGGACACCGGAACACAAGCATTAAAACAAAAAAAAACGGGGCACGGCAACAGAGCGCGCCGCACCCAAGTGGGACACCGGCAGAACAGGCCGCGCCCAGGACGCCACCGCAACGCCATGAAAAACGCCACGCCGCCAAGAATCATTGGAGCGCCAACCGGGACAAACGTACAACGGCGCCAGCTGGCACAACCCATCGGGACACCGCGAAACACTGCCCCGGACGCCCAGGATGCCAGCCGAACCACCAGAAAGCACCACCGCAGACCGGCAGCTGGAAGGGGCGCTGGCCAAACGCCTGAACATGTGCAAGACACCGCGCCGCCAAAGCACTGCGGGCCCCAAGCGGAACGGCAAGCAGAACAGTGCCGAGACACCACAATACCACTGGGACATGAAGCGTTGCCAAGAGCAACAATTAGAACGTGCTGAAACACCTAGACCCGGACCACCAGCAACCGTGGCGCTCATTTTGCTTTCAGCACGCCTGTGCAGGCTTAGATGGGCATTTGAAGATGCGCCAATCACGCTGCCGCGTGTCATGGAACTTTTACGTGCCAACTAGATTCGCCAACAGGAGCATCCTCATGTCCCAGTCTGCAATGGTTCAACTCATGACAGCTTCTGATGCTTCAACTGAACGGCAGACGCAACCAATTTATTGCCGCAGGTTTTATGAACAAGTTGAACCACTACCATTTCTTTCTCTGCAAGCTGCTGCCTTTCCTGGCGGGGGCATCCTTTACTAAGACCCCTGGCTGCGCTGGCAAGCTTATGCATTGTGTTTTCGTCTATGACAAGATGCTGCAGTTTATTGCAAACGAAGTCATCAGCTGCGTCGGCTCTTCAGGAGAGAGATGAACCGCGTGCTGGAAATCGAGGGCGTTGACCATTCGCAAGGGATGGGCTTCTTTGCAGCTCACTCTAAGCTACCCATGTTGGGATTCTGAGCTGACTTATTTTCTTTTCTTTTTTCATGCGAATTTGCTAAGGCTTAGTGTGTCATCGCTGCGGTTGCGTGGGGCTTTGTTGGTCAGATTCTTCAAAAAGTGTAGCTGCAGTTCTGGAGCTGGGGCCAGTGCTGTCATTACTGTGCTGCAACCCACACATTCCCAGCGACTTTTGTTTCGGCCTTCTGAAATTCTCACTCGCTTCACTCAGCTTGACAAACAGTTCACATCTCTTTTGTGGTGTTTGGCCAGATTTTGACTTGATGCTCTTCTTCGGGAGTCATGACATGCTTCAGGATTCTGGAGCGAGAGCTTGCAGGAGCGGCCCCAGGACTTTGCCGAGAACATCCTCGTGACAGGCTGCCTGTTCACGCCGCAGCTTAGGGACTGGACACCTTCGCCAGCGCTGCAGACTTTTGTGCAGACCTTGGACAGCAAGGGACGGAAACCATTGGTACTGTCCTTCGGAGCCTTGGAAAGTGCGCTTGCCCGGCAATCGTGCTTCCTGTCCTGCCTCAAACCATGAAGCATGCATCAGGTCATCGCGACATGCCATTGCCTTCCGCCCCTGTTTCTGCAGCCAAGGATCCATGATGGGAGTCCAGAAGGTGGAGCAAGCTGTGCTTGAGGCTGCGCGGTGCATGGGGCTCAACGTGGTTTGGTGCCGCGAGAGGCAACCGCAGAATGAGCGCGCCACCTGGGGCTTCACTCCAAGTAACGCGGAGGAAGGTGCGTCACCCACCCACGGGGTGTTTGAGGCCCAGTACGTGCCTTTTGATTGGCTACTTCCGCAAGCCAGTGTAGTGGTGTGCCACGGCGGCGCGGGCACGGTTTTTAGCTCCCTTCGAGAAGGAGTGCCAGTCGTGATTTGCCGCTTGCCTGACGATCTGTTGCCGGTGACTTGTTGGCTTTCGGCCAAGCCGTCTCTTCTGTTTGTTTGTTTCATTACATATGTGTTCCTTCCATTGTTTCGGTGAATTTATTTTCCGGTTCCCTTGCGTTTTCCTTCCAGGCCCCATCATTTCCCCCATCATCGCGGACCAGATCGTGCACGCGGAGTTCGTGGAGCGGAAGCAGCTGGGCGCGTGGCTGCGGCCGCTGTGGCCCGGCAGCGCGGAGTGCCAGGCCGCCGTTCAGCGCGCGCTGGGCTGCGCCGACGCCTGCGCGGAGCTGCGCGAGAAGCTGCGGCAGGAGGACGGGGCGGCCAACGCGGCCGCCGCCATTGAGACCTTCGCACTGGAACAGAAGCCTCTGCCCACCTGCTTCTCCTGGCTCCGGAAATGGTTCAAGTTGTTTCGAAGCGGATAGTTGCCTCCAAAACATGGCCTTGCAAGGCTTTTGCCGTTTTTCCCGGCTCTTGCCCAGCATTGGTTGCTCGCGGGCTCCACTTGGGCTGGGGATCGCAACCGATCCTCATAGATCCAGAGCTCAGCGTACGTGCTGTTCAGGATCATCCTAGGCCTTCGGCCGGGAGCTCCACAATTTCAACATACTTTTTGTGTAGTCTTTGCGCTCTGTCTTCCGTTTTGTACAGAGGAATCAACATAGATGGCGGTGAGACCAGTAGAGTGAGCTTGGCGCTGCGTTTTGGTTGGGATAGAGCCTGCTGTGCGCTTGTGAGGTATAACCTGTGCATCGCTACAGCAGCCAAAGAGAGGCAGTGGAGCCGGCGACCCCAGACAGAGCTTCGCCAAAGCTGCAAACTAGAAAGAATCACGTGGGCCATTCATGTGAGCCACAATCAGTAAGGCACAACCCCAGCCGGAAACAGCTGCGGCCGCCGGCCGCCTTTGTGTTTCCTTACATGGTTCTGGGTCAACCATTTTAATACCCATGTCGTAATCTCAAGAAAAGAGCCACAGGGAGCGGCAAACGCGAAAACGCAAGCAAGTTCTCAAGGAAGCTGTGTAAAGGACGCAGCTAGCTTCGAGGAAAGCAAGACCACATCTTCCAAAAACAGAAACGTTGCACTTCTGAGATATTGTTGAATCGCCGGCCACAAAGCGTTTTGCGAAGACGGCGCTCTCCTCCTTCCGGTTTTGCACTTGTCATTCCCCGGCGCTGCCAGGACTGGCTTTCTCGTTGCTGAAGCAGGCGCGCAAACGGCAGGGAGGCAGTTCCCAAAAATGATTGCTTTTGGTTGTCAGCTTTAACTAGACGCCTTGCCCCCCTTGTTTCCTGCCCAGATGTATCTAATTCACGTGACACGGCTTTTTGCTACTGCAACTTGCAGACTGACTTGAGCTATCTTGATCCCATTTGAGCCCATTGAACAACTATTAGTGTCAGAGTCTTCCTGATGCATGAGCAACCTATCAGCCCAAGGTTGAGCATCGCAATGTCGCGAACCAAGAGACGTTGGAGGCTTGGGGCTGCGTCCATCGCCTCCGAAGAGCCATTGAAACGGTGCCTTCTTTGCGCCTTCGCTGCACTGCTCGCGGCTTACTTTCCAGAAATGCAGTGGCGTTTTTCGTTGCGTGCGCGCAAGTGTTCCCTTCAGCCAGGCAGTGCTGAGATGTCTTGTGGAAGGGCGCAGCTCTAAGTTGCGCTCGCGTCTGTATATTTAGTGCCGTTGAGATGTTTTGTCCTTGTACTTGACACAGCGCAAGCATGCCACCTAACTGGACCAATCCAGTTAGCTTCGTTTGTGTGACGTGTACCAGTCGCAGGCTACTTCTTTTTTTCCAGTTGCGACATCTTACAATCAAGCTTTAGAGGCGCCGTCACCAGCAGGAAACAGAGCTAGGCATATCAACAGCCAGAGAATCTGCTGGCTTGAGATTGCAGTTGCATGAACACGTTACAAACTGACACCTCCCAGCTTCACAAAACATTGCAAGTATGCAAGTGGTTTTCAACGTGGTGTAGTGGTTGCAACACGTCTGGCAGATCTCGCTTGCCCGGGCAAATGCAAATAGTACTCGATGGGTGCCAGTTGAACGTGTCCGCTTTCCATCAGGAACCGGGGCCTTGCTTGGGAACTACTTCCCAGGGCGCTTTCTCGTGGCGCAAACCTCGGAAGTGAGCAGTTTGGGCTTCATAAGGTTCCAAGCTGATTCCTAGGCAGACGCTGCCTGATTCGTAGGCAGACGCTATGTGAGTTCCCTGGTCGCAGGTGCGCAGCTTCCCTCAGAATTGATCGCCTCAAAGTCCTGGCAGGAGCGCGCGGACCAGTCGTAGCATGGATCTCATTCAGTCCTTGCTTTCGATGCGCGTCCGTGCGTTTTCTATTTTATGCTGATGTGCACTTGCCAATTAAAGCGGCGGCGGACGCCTCCTTGCAAGCCTGTTCTCCAACGTTTATCAAGTGACATTTGGTTTCAACATGTCCAGCGCGCGAACAGTTCTATGATATCGACGAGAATGCTAATGGATGAGAATGTGTGGGAAACTCAAAGTTTGTGGCTGAGAGCGCGAGGGCTATGCAGTCTCGCATCTCAGAAGCTTTGCAACTGTCAAAACAGGGAATCTGTGGATGGCTGAACTTCAGCAACTGGAGCTTTTGTGGTGTTCGATAGCATGACCTGTGTAAACAAGATAAGCCAGCGAACCCAAAAGCCCAATCCACAGAGAGATTCTCACATGGCCGTGGTTCAAAACCAATGGTACCATTCTGGGATAGGTGCACCACCCATTTTAGTCTATTCTAGTGGGGATTTGGGATGTTCACTGGGGGTACGGGGTTTTGACCCATGGCTACATGGAGCCTGAATCCCTTGCAAGTAAGCTCTTTCATGGAACTGTATGGGCCTGAAAGAAAACATTTCTGTGAACCTCATTTGTAAGATCCGACCCCTTTCAAAATTGCATGGGCAGTTCCTACACGAGGACACGTCTCACCCAGTCGTCCGCAAGTAGCGTATAGATTTGTTGTTTGCTTAGTCCACTTAAACATATTAGACTAATACACTTGGGCGCTTAGCGCTTATCGTCTTAGAATTCTTGGGCTGCTTGGCCACGTAGACATTTAGCCACTTTGTTGGGCTTAGCCATAGACGTCTTAGGCTACTTGGCCACTTCACCATTTCGCTACACCCAAGCCACGCACCCTCTTAGAATTTGTGACGCCAGCTCGAAAGCTTTGAAGTGTTGGCCAAGTTTCAGGCTTTCAGGAACAGTTTGCAAGCATCCTTGTTAGAGTCATATTTCTTGATTTCCAGCTATTTCTTTTTTGAAACTCGCAGAGCGTCCTGGCAGTATTTATCCTTCGGACATTCGGACATGTTGGGGGTTGACTTCAGGAGGCAGTGCTGGCTTTGGCCAGCGCCAGCGCTTCGGACGTGGTTGCTCAGATTGCACCAGCGTGTTTCGCAGTTTCAACGTTTCAACATGCTCCAACGCATGTCCCCCTATGACCCAGCGCATGATGTTCCAAGGTCGAGTGAAATCGTTTTGTGCCATGAGACGCATCCGCACAAGCCCTTTGTTCTGAGGACGCAACGTTGCTTGCTTTGGAGAGCAGCAATGTGTCCTGGGCTGATTCGACTTGCCTTGCAATGTTTGCGCAACGCACTTGATATATTTTGAGGCTGGAGGCCATGCAGCTGGCTGCAGCACTTCGAAGCCGAAGTGGTTTGCCGTTGCATGGAAAAGGGAATGATTTGATGATGCCAGAAGTGAAGTGTTGCTGGGCTAACAGCAAATCTTGACTCGAGGGACCTCTCTTGCAGGCAGGACAGATTGCGAAAGTCTGATGCGGTTGCAAATGGCGGGACTTGATGATGGCTCAAGCTTGGCAAGCACGTCGCACTTGCCGATTGAACTGTCAGACACGCGCTGGGGTGGACAGGAACTTTGACCAAACATATCTTTGCTCCTCTTTGAACAAAATCGGGCAACGCGCCACTTACTGCACCGCGCTTGCCGCGTGCCACCTGAAGACCAGCTTGCACGGGAGACTCGAAATCTGAGACGTTGATCCCCGCGCGAATGGCTGAAACCCATGGAGCCCAGCTTCGGACTCGAGCGACTCGAGGAGCAACTCACCGAACGTCCAGTTAGTTGCTGTTGCTTGAGTCAGAGCACTAGCCTGTTTGCATCTAACTTAATTCTGAGTCCACAGAGCACTTCTCAACCTCAAAGGCCCTTCTGGAAACGTTTCTAACATTCTTCGCCGAAGGCGTGCTGATTGATCAGCCAGGACTCCATCTCGTTTCGGGCGGCCAAGCCGGGCAACAACGTTTCCTTCGGCTTGATCTTCATGTCGTGGCTGTCGTCGTCCTGGCTTGTTTGCGCGCGGGAAGCCGCATGCAGAACTTCAACCCAGACACCGCTGGAACCTATTTGGTGTTTTGTCTCAAGACTTCTGCTTTGTCCCCACAGCTCAGCTGCGCTTCCAAACCGTATCGCTAACCACGCACAGGAACTGTACTCGAGTCTCGCAGCAGCAAGCGCTTGACAACCGCAAAAGCCTGCATAATCACGAAGCACACAGCCACCCCTTGAACGTTCACTTCCCACTTGCACCGCCAACTCCGCCCTGCACTGCGCACAAGCAGAACCTGCGAAACTCAGAGTCAAATTCGCCAGCAAGACATCAAGACCGCACCTTGTAGCAACACCCTTCAAGAGCGCCCAGGGCCCTCACGCCTGGGCCCACCTTCCAACAGCGCCCCGTCCCTTTGCTAGAAGCTAGAACGAGATCCTGAGGAAATGCGCACAGCGCGAAACTGATGCGACATCCGTATGAGAATTTGCCCCCAAATACGCGCTAGCGCCAGGCAGTTGCTTCAGAATTGGAATAACATGTTTTCCCGGCGCCAAGCCAATGAGGCGAAACCGACACGTGTTGCTACCAAATGCGCAGTGATGTGGAAGTGTGTGTGCTGAGCATCAGGTCAACCCTGACGCCATTTGCTGCATTCGCGAACGTGCAGGGGGCACATGCCCATGGTGGTGAGCCAACAAAGCAAACCATGCGGGAAGCGCGGACTGATCATCCGCGTGTGCCTGCACAGTGATACAAGGTCCTTTTGGCCCTTTGGTTCTCCTGCTGTGTTTGCTTCCTGTTGGAGCTTGCAACGGTTTCGGATCTAGAAAGAAGCCATTTGCTGTGCCACTCGAATTGCTTACTCGAAAGACACCTACTCGAACGTCAGGCTTCTTTTCCCTCCCGGAGTCATTTAAGTATGTATGATGTGTGTGTGTGTACACTTGCGCGTGCGTGCCTGTGTGTGTGTGTGTGGGTTTTGTTGGCCTCAAACTAACGGATTAAACTGTCGTCAAATAATTCATTCCAGTCACTGGCGCCGCGCCAGCAAGGGGAAACAACGCTTGCCGCGAAAATCGCAGTTGAATGTTCTTTGCGCAACGCTACACTGGACGTTTGTCGCGCAAAACATATTTTTCTTTCAGGCGCCAAACCCAGAGAAACTAACATAAGAAATGTATATCACCACCGCTGGCGCGATAGTTCTTTTTGGCACCATGGCTAAATTCATAGCCCACCATGTTGAGCGGAATATAATTTCATTCTAGTGTTTTCGGGGGCCAACATAAAAGTAACAGTAGAAATAGGTCGTCGTTTTCGGTTGCGATTTCTCATTGTCACTGCAATTTGATATTGTTACCATTTCCCCACCACATTTCTTGGGATTTAGCGTCATGCCAGGAAGAATCCCATCCTTTCTAGATTGTTGGATCAGGAGCAATGGTCATATCTTTTTCGTTCGCTTTGTCCCGTCCCTTCCTATCATGTCCCACCTCTCTACTCTGTAGGTTTCTCCATCCGGAATTGCCAGAGATTGAAAGGATTTCCAGAGAGTTTAGTGTTAGGACGGGACCAACAGATGGAGATAGGTGCGCAAAGGTAAAGTGAGCGAGTTAGCCGTCTGATGAGTTGGGTTTTGTCTCTTCGTTCGTGCGGCATATCCTGCTTTGGACGGTTTTACTCTCAGAGATGCTTCGTCAGGCCTTTCATGTGGCAGTCGAACATAGCATCGTCAATTTGCAAAGTGCGCGCGAGTAGTTCTGCGATCCAATCCGGCCAGCGGACTCGATCTTCTTCTGGGCCAACACGCAATTCACAACATGTCGCGAAACGCATACCGCACTCGTGGATTCCACTGCACCAAAACGAGAAAAGCGGCACTTGCCGCAATTGGATTGGCGCGTGAAGCGTGACTGTAGATTCTGCAGCCAAAGTCATTTCGCGGCGGCCAATGAGCGGATCCGATCAGCCTGCCAAAGGATGCTCACGTTTTGTAAGTCGACCTGAAGCGACGTAATGATTCCAGTGTTGACGCGGAAGTGCAAACTGTGTTTTGCAAGATTGGCCTGTTGCAGGAAAATGCAGTGGCTCAAAACGAACCCTTCAACATCGCCCTTGCAAAAGCATCGCAGAAAAGCTCTGCAACAGCATCATGCAACAGCACGCCCCTGCAACAGCACAGCGCCTAGTGCAATGTTCCGTCACGCACGCTGGTCGCGCCACGCAACAGTAATTGCCCTACCCTCTGCGCTCTGTGCAACTCGAAGCTACACTCTCCGGCAACAGCGGCAGCCTGCAACAGCGCCCTGCAGCGCCCTGTAGCAGTGCTCTGCAACAGCACCCTGCCAATTTTTGCCTCTATATAGGAGAAGTCTTGCGATAATGCTTAGTCCGGCTTGCGTAGGTTTGCGTTCACCATCCTGCTCTTCGCATTTGCAACCCAGGAGTTACTAGCTGACACATGAGTCAATGCAGGATGGCCATTTTTTCTTCGCAAGCCCTGCAGCTGGAGGAAGTCGGAAGTCTGGTGTGGGCTCTTTGGGGCGGCGGAATACTGCCTTTGCCTCAGCATGTTGGAGCTGAATGGCCGTATCCCCATTCCAGGCATCTACTTTTCACGCCGTGGAATGGGCCGCTGAAGCGCGTGGGCTGAGGCTTGCCGTGCTGGTTCTTTCTATGGGCTGGGCCCGGCGACTCACTGTGGGGCGCCCAGAGACAGCCTCGTCAGGAAGCTAATGGGCTAGCGCTTCTTGTTTGGCAGAGTGAATTACTCAGTCCACATTGTTGCTTCCTTTCTTGGCTGTTTGCCCGAACCTGTTGTGTGGGGCCTCAGAAGAATCGCGCGCCTCTCTGGTTGCGCAGGGAGAGATATGTGAGTCATGTAGGCTTGTCCAGAAAGGCGCAGATGCTGCTCGGCTACTTCCTCCTCGCGGCGGGCCCAGTTTGGGTTTTCATTTAGCGCCTTTCTCGCTGCCAGGGCCTTCTGGCTGCGGTGCCCGTCGGTGACTATGTTGCGCCAGCATCCCAGAGTCTGACTGACTGACTGACTTGAGCAAGCGGGCGTTGGTGCGGCTGGGTAGCTTTGGTGCTTAGCTGGCAATTTGATGCCTATGTTTCGCATTTCAATTTGCCGAGGGAGAGCTTCATGGAGGAGTTCTGGCGCCTCAAGCGCGAAGCCCACGGCCGTTTGCTGGACCTGTTGCTTGTTGCTTCAAGCTCGTGCAACAAGGATTAGCAGGATCTCGAGCTTGCAATCCGCCTTCGTTTAGACCCGAGCTTTTAAGGGGCGGTGCCAGCTACACACTTCGCGCTTCAGATCCAGGCCTGCCCTCAAAGTTGCGCTGCCATTGCCCAGATGACTCAAGAGAGGCGCATCTTTCTTGGACGCCACGCAGTTGGAGTTTGACACTGCCTTCATTGATGATCGGGCCTTACAGAGCGAAACAAGACAGGCCCGAGGCTGACGCAAGCGAAGCAAGCCAAATGCCTTGCAGCTTTTGGGTTGCGCAGTTCAGGCGACAAAGAGCATCGGCTTCATGAAGGCGCTGGCAGGGCTACAGCTGAAGCATTGGAGCCGAGAGTGTGTGTTGTCAATGCCGTCATAATCGACCCGCTGTTGGCTTGCAGGCTGGGCACCTGCACTGTGTGGCTCCAGTACTGAGCTGATGCCCTGGCAAGGGTTTCTCAAAGCCTGTGAATTGACGGACGCAAGCTCATCAATTGGCTAAAGCGTGATTTTTTCACGGTGAACAAGTAGCTACTCCGCAACTCTCTGGGATCAGCCAAACGCACAACGCAATGCGCATATGCCAGAACAGGTTCAAATTGTGCTCGCATTGCAAGGTGAGTCTAAGCAACGACGCGCCAGCTTCTGGGTTGTGGGCGTTGACTGCTGTGGCAAACGAGGCTGGGCTCAGAACTTGCAGGGAAGGTGGCTTCTTTTCTGGGCGTGTGGGCCCCCGCCACGGGTGCCGGAGTCGTAGCGTCTTCAACGCTCAGGTGAATTTGCCTGCTTGGGCTCGCAGGACGATCGTCAGATGGCCCGGTCTTCTTGAAAGATGCAGGCTTAGTCAAGCAAGAGGTCCTCAAGTTGTTGCATATGAAAGTGGCGGAACAGCTTGGCAGGAATCTGTAAGTGCAAGAAGAGTTCGGAAAGACTTGCTTTTGACTGATTTGTTCCCTTTTGCTGTCCAGCCAAAGAGTCGCAGGAAGCGGCGCGCTCTGGCATTGTCCTGAATGATCGACTTGGCCTCACGAGGGTTGTTTGCCCTGACATGCCAGAGATGCCATCATTGCAAGCCTTGAGGTGACGGCATTTACACCAAAGCTGCCCGTGCCTGGCCAGAAATGCCGTATCGCAGACCAGATAGATTTCATTCCAGAGACTGCGGTCCCCAACGTCCAGAGAGAGCCCGAAATCGGTGGGGCATTGGGAGGCATGGCTCAGTCCGTGCATGGCCTGGAGATCCTCGACAGCACTGACATTCTCCTGCTTGGTTGGACTGCGAATTGCAAATTCACCATCGATGTATTCAGAGATTGGGCTCGGAGGCGTGAGAGGCATGTGCAGCAAATGGCTGTGGTTCAAAAAACCGGAATTCCAAAATGGAACCCTGATAAGTGGAAGCGTGGACCAAAACCTGCGGTTTGCCCCTCCGATCGTTTAATTTTGAGAACCACACCCAAATTTGAGAAACTACGCTGATATCAAACAATCCGAGAGTTGCTCTTTGCACCGCCTCCAGGATCTCGGACCCGCAGCTGTATATGCAGCACCTGTGGTCGAGGACAGTCGCGAGCATGTTGACCCAACAATTGAACACGGGGTTATGCCAATGAGTCAGCTGCATGGAGAAAATTCCCCCAACCATGTTTTGTTCCGTGAACATCCACGGTTGGCTTTTTTCAGACTGGTTGAGGAGCCAGAATACGACAGTTTCCCGTGTTCTCTTTAAGTAAGAAGCCCAAAAGGTGACCTCAGAATACGCGGTGAATGTGTCAAGATGTTTGACCAGGTTGCCCCCAGCTTCGCAAGAGTCAGTGCCAAAGCTTTAGAAAGCTGGTTTGGCATCCCGTCTCGTCATGGTATGCACGGCAAGCAGATGGACATTCCCCAACATGCACCTACGTGATTTGCAATGAATAAGGAGTTGGAATTTGTGCTTGGCCAAACCGCAGGGAGGAACAGGAACGATTTAAGGGGCGCTAGATTCCTGTGTGATTCCATTAAACTCAGGGGTTAACGACAGCTGTGGCCAGTGCCACTACCTGCACGGCCACAGCGATCCTCGCTTTTCTGCTTTTGATGTGCTGCGGGGTCCTTGAAAATCTCCAGTTGTCACTTCCGTCGCGGATTGGGGAGCTCAGGTGCAGCTCCCATCACAGCGGCTCGGTTGTGTTGGAAGGGATGAGCCAATATGCACCGCGGTTGAGACACAGGTGAAGTCTTTTTTGATCTGCGTTTCCCTTGGCATTCCCAAGACCAAGAAAAATGCTGTTATGCCAGCTTGCGCCGATTCTGTGTTGCCCCTAGTGCTGACCCAAGGTTCGAAGCATAATGACTCAAGATTTCTGAGTTGTCAACGCCATGGCTGATGAATTGATAAACACATGTTAGTCGCTATGGATATATGAAGCACCGTCAAAATTACTTCTGTTGAGTTTAGTATTCGTCGTTTCGTTGATATTGTGAAAATGCACAAAACCATGGCAAACGATAGGGGACTCTCAAAAAAACGATACCCCTGGAAAACGATGGACATGCTGGAAAACGATAGGGGACTCTCAAAGTAAGTAGCGAAACGGCCGTAAGTAAGTAATTTTGACCGTGCCTCATATCATTATTGTATGAATGGCTTAAACGGTTTTGCGTGATCCATTGAACTCCATGTTTACAGTCTATGTTGTAAACTATATACGCGATGTGTATATATATATATATATGTATACATATTTTAACATTGAATATATTTAATTGTGTTGTAAGAAAATATAATATGTAGATCATTATCTAACATATTTGGGAAATATTTGAATTTAAGTAACACAATGATTTTGATATTTGGACATATTTAGTTATAATGCAGAAGTGATATCAGGTATAAGAAAGTTCTTCCCGAAAGCACTGCAAAGGGTTCTTCCGGAAAGATGCTAGCGAACTCGCACGAGCATATTTGCACGAGCGCACTTGCACAAGCACACTTGCACGAGCGCGCACTTGCACGAGCGCACTTGCCCCGGGCACACTTGCACGAGCACACGGGATCCGCAAAAAGAAGAACAAGTCCATATTTGGAACAGAAGTAGCAAGAGTCCACAGTTTTTGCACATCGACCATGCGGATCCTTGCAGAGGGTGTCATATTCGCACAGTGGGTTCGGTCCACAGCGCCTTGAAAGAGAACTGTAATCTCTCGTGCAAGTTTTCTCGCCCACGTGCACGCGCGCGCGACCCTTTGCGACGGCCGTTCTCTAAAATTCAATTGGAATTTGCAAATAACGACATGCTTGTTTCGAATCCTGCTAGAACTTGTATCTTAAATGTGGAACTTAGATAGCCCCACGGGCAACTGGCAACTGTATTCTTACATTGAGGGTTTTGTATCCGGTCCCTTTCCCACTAGAACTTTACAATTTAATGAGAGATTAAGCAGAGATTGACAAGGACATAATCCAGTCATAATACAGATTTTTAGTTAAGCCCTACACTGGGCTTTCTGTCCAATAGAACTTCTTTACAAATAAGTTGACATGTAAACGCAATGTATTCAATCAGAGTTCAACTCGACTTCTGGAGGCGGGACGGATGCGCACTAGCTTTTTTTCGAGTTGATGTGAGTTGCATTCCTGCCTTTGCAGGGCGGGAGCACCTTGCGGCTAGAACATGTCAACTTGGAGGCCAGGGCAAGCGCGGTGGAAAGTCATACGACTTTCCGGCTGGGACAAACTTGTGAACGCGCCGAGAGCCTGGCGTTGCAGCATTTGGCTCAAGCAGTGAAGGGGCTTTGCCGAGAGGCCATGCCCCGCTATGCCTGGGTCTCAGGTCTCAGGACGCGCTTTTCTTTTGTGTCTTGCGCCTTGTGCTCAGGTCATCCGGGGGCAGTCGATTGAAGCCGACTCGGTGGATGCTGCTCTGAAGCTGGCAGGCGGTGGGCCGCTTGTCAGAGGGTGCAGCCAAAGAGGGGGACTGTCCCTCACACTGTGACAGGATCAGACGAAACAGGAACTGACAACGCTTCATAGATTCATAGACAAACCATGACGCAAGAAAATACAGAGTCATCCAGGCGCACAATGCCTTGCTGTTTTGCCCTGGTTTCAAGCACAAAACATGCGCGCCTGAAGCTTTGTCGTTGCAATTTGTCTCCAGTTCGTCTAGAATCTAGGCATATTCCTGGCGTTTGTTGAGGCAAGTTTCGGCACTCAGTGGCAGCTGGCGTGATAATCCAGAGCATGGCTTTGATTGTTGCCATGTTTGACTGTGAGTTTCAAGTTGGGAACGCGTGACGTGGCGCAGTGGGTTTGCTGGTTGTGGAGTGGGTTTGACTAGGCAGCCGTTCGCCAATGTTGGAGCTGTTGGTGCCGGACGCACCCCACGTCCGTGCCACCCTCGCTTTGCCTCTCTGAGCTATTGTCTCGCTCCCGCATGTCCGCGGCGCGCGATGGATGGACGGATTGGATTAGATTAGATTGGATTGGATGGATAGGATTGGCAGCCAGCGTTGCATGTCACTTGAAACCTTCTGCACCGAACTTGAGCAAAGAAGCATTTGGGTAGCAACTGAATCGGTGTCGCGTCTCTTTGCTTGAAGGCAGTTGGGCAAATGAGCTTGGCTGGAAAACGTGATGCTAAGTGGCCATTGCTGCCACTTGAAGGGTTGACTGGACAAAGCAACGTCGCAGCTGGACGCAATGCAGACAGGACCTGCGCAAGTGTTAGCCAGCGGGCAGAACTGACGGTCAAGAAGTGCTTAGTGCGAGCAATGCCAGGCAGCGTTTAGCTGCATGGCTTCCTGCGTGCCTGTTCTTTCCATTAGGTGCTCTTGTGCCACTTCATACCTACATTCCAATTGCATTCGTCTCCCAGGCCGGCTGGTGCTTCCCCTACCCGACCATACTCCGGCGGGTTCCCGCCTGATCAAGGAGAGACTGTGCATGGTCGCTGCGCAAGTTGGGCTTGCGTGAGTTCCATGCAAGCCCTGATGGGTTGGATGGTTGGATGGAGTGTGCTGAGGGGCTGAATGATAGCGAATGCATGACGGTTCTCATTTTTTCCATGCAAAAGAGGCTTCGCTGCGCCACTCTCTGGCACCTGGGCATCGCCCGAATCAGCTTCACCCCGTCGTTTCCCGCCGGAGACAGCGCAGGCCAGGCTGCAGGCGCTTTGGCATGCCAAATGCATTGCAAACATGCCCTCGGCGTATTTGCAGGTGAGGTGAAGGCAGGGCTAGCGAATCTTTTCGTGTGTTGGGTAGGCATTTGCACCTCGTTTGCAGCCCGCTGGATCTGTCGCAGCATCCATCCAGAAGCCTGGCCCCTCTGCAGTTTCAGCATGCTTTGCTGAGCGGTGTTGACATTCAGATTTGGCTAGATAAATGCCGCGCGCATGAGCAAGAGGGATTGGGGCAACTGCACGACGACTTGCCTTGAAATGATACCCCCTACTCCAAATACCATCTTTGTTTAGTGTATTTGTGCAAAACCTGGTTTTGTAGGGTACATACATAGATTTTTAGTAAAGGGTCGACATCATATTCTAAAAAAAGAGGGTATTGGGTGTAAGGGGTATGACTCAGGAGAGCTGCGGCGAGTCTCCAATGCCTCTTTGATCGCACTTTTGGCATTTTGTTTTCATGTTTCTTGGTGCGTCATGCAAAAGAGGCTAGCAGTGGAGGCAGGTTGGGGGCCATGTGGGCTCAAAAAGTCAAACTTTGTTCAGCGGCGCCTGTTCAATCAGTGGGTAGCCAACATGATAGCTGCAGGCTGTACGGATTGGCATTAGGAAACCGTGATTGGCCAAACTGTTCCATCCCTTTGCCTCTTAGGACACGAAGATCCAGGCCCCGGATGAGCCAACCTTTTATGAGAACACACTGCTGTTCTTGCCAGAGCCTGCAGCAACTTGGCATTCCCACCAGCTTGAACCCAAATCAGGTGGTGCTGCATCCTTTGACCTGAATGCGATCTAAGAAGGCGCTTTCACAGTAGCCAGTTTTGCCCACCAGAAGGTTGACTTCAGAAAGTGACGTAGGATTATGGATTTGCCGTGGCCAGCCGTGACACGAGGAAACCTGCTGTGCCTACCCTGCTCAGAAACAACCTTGGGAGCGGCAGTGGGATGCTACCTCTTCCCCCTGGCAAGAATCTGCCAGAAACTCAACTTAACTAGAATAAATAGTTAGACATCATCGACCAGCAAATCACCAGGGTGGGGAACAGCGATGCCAGCAATCAGAATTTGCCTCTTCGCGACCAGCGACTGCGCACCGAGCACGCACCGAATGCACCGAGCACGCGTCGAGTGTGTGTGCCGAGCACGCGCCGAGTATGTGCCGAGTACGCACCGAGTATGCGCCGAGTACGCGCCGAGTACGCACCAAGTATGCGGGGTGAGCTGAGTATGACGCCGAATGCGCACTGAGCACACGCCGAGTGTGCACGAAGCACGCGCACGCACCGAGTGCACCGAGTACGCGCCAACCGGGTATGCGCCGAGTACGCACTGATTGCGCAGAGCATGCGCCGAGTACGCAGCGAGCGCCGACCGAGCGCGCGCCGAGCACGCGCCGAGTACGCGCCTGGCTCACTGCCACGTTGTTTGTTTTTGTAAGGTTTATGGGGTCACGGCGAGTTAGAACCATATGCTTCTTGTCATTTCAGTTGAACCAATTGGGATGCGTTTTTGGGTTTCTGATTTGTGCATTCGGGTTTCAAGTGTCTTGCTGTTCTGTGAAAAAGTGGTTTCTGTTTCATCACCTACCATCACCTAAATGCTCTAAGATTATAAGTCAATGTTTCCTTAAGTTATTGAAGCCAGAGAATTAGTACTTATGTTATAGAATGGTTAAACTGAACATATATCTTACACTGTTGTTTGTTGTAGGGTGTGTGGGGTAAATTCAATCATAGATGAAAATCAGTAGTATCTTCACAATATACATCAGCTCATGTCTTTCACTTTCACCATCGCAATGATTGAACAAGATGTCATCTATTTTTTCAGCAATTTCTATTCCAAAACATTATCCGTACAATACACTGTGTCTATAATATTCATTCATACCAGGGTAAGGTAACAAGCCAATAAGTTCACCAACTATTGAATTGAATGCTTCTTCGCACTGTCTAGATGTTCACCAGTTTATACCATATCTTTTAATATCGTTTCGTTTCCAATTCAGTACTCATACTGGTTTCCATGTTCGCAGTTCTACTATAGGATGAATGATACATTTTGGTTTTGCAAGTTTTGTATTTGTTCATCAGTTGTTGAATTTTCAAGTGATGATAAGTCTTCTCCGTGAAATGTCAAATAATAATCTAGCTTTCTTTCATGCAAACTAGCATTCAATGGACAATACCAATCTATTTCCTAGTATTATTTCCATTTCTTCCCATTGTTCACACCTAATATTATCTGAAATGTTTTGTCTCATATCAATGGGTATTGGTATAGATGTCTTTTTTAGTATAGCAACTGTTTTTTGGCGCATTCTTTGCAACATGCACTAGGACGCATTTACACATACAATTACTGAATACTGTTTGTCTTGCTCATTCCAAATCATCCAACTATTTATTTATACATGTGAGTCATTGATATAGATGTCCTTTTTAGTAAAGCAATTGTTGTTTTTTGCGCATTCTTTGCAACATGCACTATGACACATTTACACATACAATTACTTAATATTGTTTGACTTGCTCATTCCAAATCATCCAACTATTTATTTATACATGTGAGTTCCACTTTCAGTATCACTCATATGTCACTTACTACATTCCGTCAATATTTCTTTCGGTCATGTCCAAAGACTAAATTTTCCGGTGACCATATCCTAAACTTTCAACTGTATTTTCCTTCAACCCTTGTTTCAAGTAAAACTATTCAGTTCGTATATGGACTGCGTACTTTTCGTTAAATGTAGAATTATAGTTTACTTGTTTTTCATTTTTCGGTTAATGAAGTAATTTGTACACCTGAACCTGCTCATCTGAAAGCATACCTGGCGCACCCGGCACGTACCCGGCGCATCTTGCTGATCTCTGTGGCCGACTGTTGCAACATTTCCAGCCAGTTGAGGTGAACAAGCTGAAGCTAGAGCCAAACATGTCAGACAAGGGTGACACGGAGAGCCTGAGCTGAGATTCACTGTTTGCAAGCCTATGTCCAGCAGGCTCCACTTGTAACCAAGGGCATTTGTCACCTGAGAGAAAATGAGTGAGCCCCCTGCTTTTCGCGCGAGAAGGGAGTCCCACAGAAAGAGAGAGGGAGAGAGCGTGTGGCGAGCCCTCTTCTTGGTAGCCACCTGTAGCTGCATGTGCAAGTGTCCTTGTGGCTTGATCAACCCTTTGGATCAGCTCTCCCCTTTGCTGAAGCGCTGCGGTCGAGGAAAGAACTGTGGTTTGGCCGAGTCTGGGAGCTGCGTGAGCTCCTTCGAGCTCAGCGCAACGAGCTATTGGCGAGGGCACGGGGCTGAGTTCTTTGCTACATTCACTGCTCTTGGTTTTGCGAGTCGTTTTCTTGTTCCATTCTCTCTCTCTCTCTCTGACTCTGTCTCTCTCGCTGTTTGTTTTTACATTTGTTTGAAGAAAAGCTCCCTAAACGCCAGCTAGGGCTTAAGTTGGGGCACGTGTGATTCCATGACCCCGCGAAGGAGGGCCGCAGCAAGCGAGAGGAATTGACACCTCAACAGAAAGCAGACCTGGACAACCTGCTGCGTGATCCCAAGAGGATTCTTGTCTGCAAGTTTTAGTTGTCGTTGAAGCCGAGCCCTGCCTCCAAGTCAAAGTTCCCCGAGTGCTCCAGAAGCCGAGGAAAAATGTCTTGCTCCGTATGGCTGCTACTTGGAAGGGTGCGGGGCCAAGCTCCCATTTTCTTTGCCGTGCCTCAAAGCGTGTGGCATGGAGCAACCCGGCTGAGGTGCCGTGGTGCGGAAGCGCAATAGCTTGAATGTGCTGAACACGCTCAGGTTCGCCTTTTTGCGGGGCAGTGCGACCTTGCCTCAAATCCAACAACCCGTACCCGATCTTACACTCTTTCCAACAGCAGTGGAGGCCTTTCAAAAGGGGTTTGGTCTGTCCACTTGACTGATGAGAAGAGGGTAAGCCTATGCATCCCGATTCTGAGCCTGCCTTTGTTGGAGCTCTTGCAAACGCCTTGGGCGGACGTCTGCAATTTAGGTTATTTATGCGCATGGCTCCGGCGGATGCAGCTGGGACAACTTCAGAATCTGTCGGATGATCGCCCGGATGGGCTTGTCCCGCGGCCGTTTTCAGATTGGTTTGTTTGGGGCAGCGTCTGTGGGAGATTGACACTCGGTTGCCACCTTGGAGGTTGGTGATTGCCCCAGACGGATTTGCCTATCCCAAGAACACCGCCATGGGGCAGAAGCGGCACAAGGACGCACCTGCACACAGGCACTCAGGCACTCAGGCATTCAGGGCGGTACGTTGCAGGACCTGCAACCTTTGAAGAAGGCAAGTGCCGCTTGCTCGGCAAAGAGGGCGAGTGACACCGGAGATCAATGGCTTGCTTTGGGTGCTCAAGGATGAAGTGGATTACTGGGCGAATGACTTGGTATACACATCTGGATCTGAGCCCTAGCAGCATGACAGATGAATCCTTGGTATTCCCATTTTGTTTGTTTCGCCCTTGACCCTGTTGTCCCAGGAAGGTTCCTACACCTACAGCACCAAAGCAGAAAGCGTGCTGGAAGATCCAGACAAGGCGCAGCGGCAGGGCAAGCGAGGCGGTTGTGCCTTCGTATGACTGGAGCAAGCCATTGCAGTTTCTGGGCCGTGTTTCGGCCGCATTCCAGGAAGTAGTAGAACTAAAGACTGCTGGGCCGGCGGGGAGTGCCTTTGTTTGTGCACAAGAGGGCTTACCGCCCTCTAGTTGGAGGGTTGGGTGGGGTCATGACCCTCTCAGCAATTAAACTTTGTTTTTGACATGCATCTTTTGATCACGACTTGGCCGCAACGCTGCCAGTTCCGTGATCTCTACGAGCAGTGCTACAGAATGCGGCAAAATGAGCTCCACTTGATCATCTCGAAACTGCCCAGGCCTGCGTCTGAGTTTGCCACTTCGTGCATGATGCAAACGCATTGTGGAAAGCAGCGCCTAAACAAGAACATGCTCAACATGCACAAAGGGGACAAACACCTGATAGAAGCCACGTGTCATCTGCCCGCTGCCTTTGGGCTTGAAGTGTGAAGTATGATGTCTCTCTCTCTCTCTCACTTATTCGATCACTCACTCAATCAATCACTCAATCACTCAAACACGTACCCACTCACTCACTCCCCTCTTCACCTCACTCACTCTCGCCCGCTCAACCACCCACTCGCCCACACGAATTTTAGGCAATCAGTTTGTATCACTTATACGTAGGGCTGCCTCTATCAATGAAATTGCATGCCTTCTTTACGCGGGTGGGGGGGGTGGGGGGAATTGGGGCATATCAGGGGTAAATTTGGTGGAAATTTGGTAAATTGGTGCCACCACTTTATCTCAAATTTACCCCCCGCCCCCAATTTTGGGCGACCACCAATTTTGGTTGGTAATTTACCCCAGCGTTTCTGCTGCTTTCATGAGATATGCCGGCCAAGTCCCAGGTTTCTCAACGGTAGACGTGGGTGTGCACCCAATTGGGGATTACTTACCACCAAAATTGGTGGTAAGTTACCAACAAAATCGGACACCAAAGTTGGGGGTAAATTGCCCCCAACATTTCTCCCAAATTACGCAAAGAGTTACTGCTACAGGCAAGGCTTAATGTGTACATATTGGCTTAAGGCCCCTTTTCTACCATAGAGTTTACTCGCCGTAGAAAAAGACCTTGCTGCGCTGCGCTCGCTCAGGATGCTACTTGCCTTCTGCTGTTTGTGTTGTTCACAACAACAACCACCAGCGCTACCTGCTACCAATACTGCTGCGACTCTTACTACTACCAGCACTCCACTACCACTACTATTACTACTACTACTACTACTACTACTGCTACTACTACTGCTACTACTACTACTACCACTACCACTGCTGCTACGAATGGAGAGATCGTAGGTGAAAGGCCTTAACCGTTTCGTCTATGATGACGACGAGAGCATCTCCCAGCTGCAGGACACAATCACTCCAAAGACCATCGGATCAGTGAAACAGGATCACTCGAAAGACATTCCAACCGATCCAGAAAAGATCAGATGTACTTGAAGATTTCTTTTAGCCAGATCCTGCTGTGGCATCAGTGAGCCAACGTCGCTTCCACTTGCCTTAGGCAGAACCCACAAACGATATTGTCACAGCCAGATGAGTTGAAGAAGCTTCAATACCGACCAACTTAGATTTTGAACTCGAGCGCTTCACTTGCTCAACATGCTGACCACGAATTTCAGAAGCTTGGCCAAGGACCCAAAATTCGACAGAAGAGTCATCAAGGACAATTCTGTCAATGAGAGGCCCACGGCTCGATTGCTCACTCAGCAATGAGGTCGACGAGTGGCTATGAACTGGCGAAGGCGTTCAGAAACGCAAGCTTCAAGGGCATAGTTCTGGAGAGAGGAGCAAGACCGATTGCATGTTTTGTCCGGGGCAATAAGCCAACCCGTCTTGAACTTCTCGCTCGACATTCGGGGTTTTCCGATGTTAGTTCGGCGCATCAGAAGACCAAGGCCGATGTCAGATTGCTTGGCGCGCACAGGTCCATACATGAAGACAAAGAAGACAAAAGACCCAAAGAAGGCCCAGCTTCCTCCGAGAGCGGAGACCATCAGGTATGGAGCGAACGGAGAGCCCATCGCCATTGAAGAGAAGAACGATTTCCAAGACTAGAAGTGGGAGCAGTGGAAAAAGAATGGAATCAACATGTTCTACCATTAGTACGCGCAGCAAGAACCAGCAGCTCCATCGACCGGATCTTGGACTTTTGACAGCAGCCAGCGTCAAACGCAAGATTGCTGGAACAGCTTCGCCTATGACTCATCTGCCAGTATTCGTGACATCATTCACCATGTCCTCTACACTAAGAAGGGATCGTCCTATGACAGGACATGTCCTGGTTGCATAGTGAGTTACATTTTTACCAATGAACATTACAAATGCCGGACTGAAGAAGACACCTGCGATGAGAAGCGCAAGAGAGCGTCCGAAGATGACGCAAGCATGACCATTGGTGACTATCACGGTATCACGTTTCCTTCGCCGAACGCTCGAGGCGCATCGCGAACGAGATGCTTATGAACGCAGGGAGCCATAGCTGATGAACGCACCCTCTTCCTATGGTGCATATCCAAAGCAAGCGCGCGAACCACCGGCGAATGAAGAACTGGCAACCCCACAACGAGCGGAGCTACAACCAGCAGGACTACAACAAGGTTTACGACGATTATGGATGGAAGACTAAAGCAAGAACTGGCGCGAAGGATTTTCAACAGAATGTAGTTGCAGCAAGAACTACTGCCACCAACAGCCTTGGCGCTGTCGATCAAGAAGTATGGTCAGCTTCCGCAAGCAATGCTCATTTTCCAATTCGTAACGCCCTCGCGAGATCCTTTATCTTGACCTCGCCGCCTACAGGACTATTCCAATTGCGATATCAACTTCATTGTCTACAAGGGTGTCTTTTCCTGAAGTGAGTGAGTCGATAGTTTCACAAGGACACAATAGCCCTTATGTTTTTGAGTGAATACGTCTTCCAGACCTGCAGATGCAGAATCATTCGACGTAATTAGATGTCAACTTTTGCTCCATTTCTTTTTCGCTCTCAGCACAAACCGTGTAGACATCAGACGATCGAAATTGAGCTAAATGTTTCTCAACGGCGACGGCGAGTGTAAAATATGGCTACGGCGCAGGGACCTTGAGATTATCAGTGGATGCCCAAACAGGGCCAACCATCAGGTCATCAGATCCGAGTGCCACACAATAAGTATGGACTCACCAAGCCACTCACTCGCTCGCTCACTCACTCACTCACTCACTCACTCACTCACTCACTCACTCACTCACTCACTCACTCACTCACTCACTCACTCACTCACTCACTCACTCTCATTCTCATTCTCTCGCAATCTCTCACGCATTCACACTTGCTTTCACTCTGCGCGGAACGCTTCAGACTGACACTTGCGAGCGACTTCTGGCCAAGACATGCGCCCGCCGCGAAATCTCCGCGCCATTGCGCCTGCTGCGACCCCGATCACAGTGCGCCAAACTGCGCCAGCCACGAAATCTGCACCATATTCCGCCTGCCACGGTCTCTGCGTGCCAAGTTCGGAAGTGGTGCGCCTGCCACGACATCCGCGCGAAACTCACAAATACTGAAATACTGCGCCTGCCACGAAATCCGTGCGAAACTCACAAGTACTGTGCCTGCCACGAAATCTGCGGCTTGCGCAGGCGCGCCGGACTCAGCGCTTCAAGGTTCAAGAAAAATCACGTTTCGCGGCCAGCCCAGCGGCGGGGCAATATTTGCCACACACGCACGCTTGCGAACACGAGCGAGCGCTTGCGGACGCTTGGCAACGCTTGCGGACGCTTGTGAACACCCCGATGCGTTTTGCCTTACGTACCCCCAGCTTAAAAGCGGGAACCCTTCGCACTTGGAAAAACCACACATAGCACCGGCCTTGCAGGTGGGTTCGCGCGCAGGGCTTTTTCATCGGCGCGGCTCTCATCACGCAGGACTTGCGCTGGTTTTGGCGTTACTTCCGCCGGGTCAGGTGGTACCTCGGAAGGTGCCATGACTGTGGCGCGCTTCGATGACCAGCGGTATGGCCGGCAGGTGCTGGGCCGCCCCTGGCCCAAAAGTGCAAAAAGAGCGACAAACCCCCGGACCTGGTCCAGCAAGAGTTTCGATGCTGTCCGAGTAATGGTGCCCCCAAGGCTTCATCAACTCCTTCAGCATTGAGTACTGCCTCTAGGCTGGCATAGGTGCAAGGAGATGTTTGTCAGGGGTGGCGCTGTTGTTGCTGGTTTCGCCGTCACCTGTCACGAACGTAGACCGCAATGCGGCAGGAACAACGTTGCAAGCGCTGCTCGCCGCGCTTCGCTTCGCTTTGCTCGCTTTGCTTGCTTTGGTTGCCTTGATTTGTTGTCCGCTTGCGTTCTTTGTTTGCTTTGCTTCCTTTCCTCGCTGTCCCGCGCTTTGCTTTGCTTTGCTTGCTTGTTTGCTTGCCTTCCCACAAAGGGTTTGCAGGGTGTCTGAATTCTTTGCTCGACAATCTTGACATTACTTATTTGCTTCAAGGCTACTTTACTCCAAATCCCGACGCCGCAAAGCTCGGTGGCAATTTGGCCGTGCCCACGCTGAACATCATCGGTCGTGCTCCCAGCGAGAATCAAGCAGGAATGCGACCGACGTGTGGTGCGTGGGAGGGGCGCGCCTTTTCCTGCTGAGGCACCCACGATGAGTACTTTGGAGCTCAAAATAGCGTCGCTTGGCCAACTGTATTGTTGGCTCCCTGGCGATGCGTGCAGAGTTCGCAGCTCAAGGTGGCAGCTGCTGTCAAGGAGGACAAAGTCCGAGGCTTTGGGGATGCGAAGCTGGATCCTCGCACGCGAAATGAGTTTCAGGGGCGTTCGCATGTCTTTGCCAGCGAAGGCTGCCACAGGCAAACAGCAAGCGAAAGAACCGGATGTTGCTAGAAATCTCTAGAACGCATTGTTCCAAGGACGGACATGGCTTCGACCAGTTGATGGAGCAGGTGTGAGTAGATCCGCAAGAATACAAGTGGAGTTGCTCGCACGCAGGAAGTTGACTGCGCCCTCATATGCCAGTTGGAAGAGGGGAAACACAGCCCCTGCCGCTTGGCTAAGTTTGCATGCTCACGGATAGGCTTGAGGCAGGCCCGATGCTGGCGCGCAACGGCTGCGCGTTTTGCAGGCGAGTCTCATGACAATTTCCTGCGGAAGCTGTTTCAGACGCGCCCTGCCTCAACGCGACAACAGCATGCAACAATTCTGCTGCTTTCCATCGTGCGCGGATTTAGGCACTTTGGCAAAGTTGCTTTGAGCATCCAGGTTTTTCACGCGGCCTGCAGACATTTGCTTCCTGCACGAGCTTTGGAAGGGTGGCTCTGCTTGGTTGCGCTATGAGCCAACAAACGCAAACTTGGGAACCGGGCTCAGCACCCTTGCCAGATGATCCGATTTCACTGAACTGGGTGAAGATGGAGAAGATGTAGCCTGGCAGATAGGAGTTTGCCGGCGACGCTTGTGATTTGTCCACTGCATTCTGTCAGCTGAGGCGAACGAAAGGTCAAACGGTGACGAAGATCTTTGTTCCAAAGATCCACGCTTGCAATCAAGCGCTTGCCTGCTGGCTTTTTCCCGGAGGCATGCAAAGGGTTCTTTTAAAACGGCTGCGCACTTCACTGGCCAATGTGTCCTGCCACCTTTTCGAGTGTTAAATCACGATCCTAAAAGCACAAACGAACAGGAGTATGCTAAATCTACGAGCAACAAATTGCCAGGTAACATTTCGGGTGTTACTTCACTGTCCTAAAAGCATGCTAACTTTTCTTTTGCACCTTGTTTTCGCGAGTCTTAGTTCTTCTTTTTCTGGTCGTGGTAGGCCCGACGGGAGAGACCGAACGCAAGACGTGTTGGGTGGGTAGGTAGGCAGGCAGGTAGGTAGATAGAAGACAGATAGAGTTAATTGCTTGCTTAGTTGGTTGGTTGGTGGATTGATTGATTGAGCGATTTTGATTTGATTTGATTTGATTTGATTTGATTGGTTGATTGATTGATTGATTGGTCGATTAATTTAAAAAATTGATTGATTGATTGATTGATTGATTGATTGATTGATTGATGGATTGATTGATTGATTGATTGATTGATGGATCGATCGATCGATCGGTCGGTCGGTCGGTCGGTCGGTCGGTCGGTCGGTCGGTCGGTCGGTCGGTCGGTCGGTCGGTCGATTGATTGATTGATTGATTGATTGATTGATTGATTGATTGATTGATTGATTGATTGATTGATCGATCGGTGGGTTGGTTGGTTGGTTGGTTGGTTGGTTGGTTGGTTGATTGATTTGGATTCTTGATCTGATTGATTTGGATAAAGCAAGTTCCATTGATTGATTGATTTGATTTGATAGGTTGATTGACTTGACTTGTTTTGATTTGATTTGAGTCGACGGGACTTGGTTTGATTGGTTGGTTGCTTGATTGGTTTATTGATTGATTGACTGATTGACTGATTGATTTGATTGGTTGGTTGTTGGGTTGCTTGATTTTATTGATTGATTTTATTGATTGAGTTGAGTTGAGTTGATTCAATTGATTGGTTGATGTGATTGATTGATTGACTTGATTGATTGGTTGAGTGATTGCTTGATATTGATTTGGTTTGATTTGATTTGATACGTTGATTGCTTGATTGATGGGTTGTTTGGGTTTAAATTTGACATGAATTGATTCGACGATCGCTGGAGACTCTTTGTCCTTGTTTGGTTTTGATAAGCAGCCGCAGTGAAACGCATAGGCAGCGTCACACCAACGCAAAATTGGCTGAGTGTCCTGGCGAGACCAGCCTCAGCCTTACTAGGGTGGTAATTCGATCCAGGACCCAAGAATGAAAACCAAGTGAGAGCAAGAATCTCGAGCCCTTTCTTCTCCCGCAAACTATACCTATGGCTGCACTTCCTGCGCATTTTTCTGCTCGCCTGCCTCTCAAACTATATTTATTCATTCTGGTGTTTTAACAGCAGGTAACAGAGGGGCTCCCAGTCCGAAAGTAGTGTTAGGGCTCCGGCGGGTTGAGAAAGTAACATGTACTCATTGAAGCGATTGCATTGAAGCTTTGAAGACTTTACGACGGCTTGTTTTGAGTTTGATTCGATCTGTTTGCGCAAGCAAAAAGCCCGCTGCGCTCTCTTTGCTTCCGAGCCACCCATCGTCTATCCACGGGCTCGGAGTGCCGCTGCCAGTGACAGGGATACAACCTAGGATGGACCACCCGGTGAAGGTCACGTTGGCAGAGCTTGAGAACTTCAGGCGGATGAAGCCGCTTGTCCGCATCAGACCCTGGAGGTTGTGAACAGATATCCAGTAGTCTATGGTAAATTCGGGGGACAGCCAAATGTCACACAAACATAGGGGGAGGCTCAAGCTTGCGCATGTCCTGTGAGCTCGGAGCACCTCATGTTGCAAGCGAAACCCGGGCAGCCTGAGCGCGGCTTCCATTTGATGTCACATCAGCTGCCTCCAGGAAAACGGCCAAGCTCAATGATATGCTGAAGGAGGAGGAACAGCGCTTTGGCATCAAAACTAGCACTTCGATGTAGCAACGGAAGCCAGATTCACTGACGTGTCATTGAGGCAGCGAGCTGCCAAGGACAGCTCTGTCAAGGCCCGGGGCAGACAAGGCTGCAGTAGAGGTAGTGACTTATCCAGACGCAGGTGAGGCAACTTGAGTTTGGCGTTGGGGTAAGTGGGAAACGAGGGAACTGGACTCAGGGCTTGCTCGCCGCGGTGAAGCGACGCACCCTGCTTGAAGTCAGCGCTATCGCAGTCAGCTTTTGGGGCAAGCAGAATGCTTGAGATTGTTTGCGCAACACCCCTTGAGAGGATCTTGGTCCGAAAGACAAGCGCAAAACATCGACGGGAGGATCTTCACAGGATGTTTGCGCATGCCTGGGTAGGGGTTTCTCTTTCTTTTCTCGCAAGGTTTGTGGAGAGGATTACAGTTTCTTAGCACCAAAGAACCCGAAGCACATGCCAAGAGATCCGTCGAGACCGTGCCTAGAGATCATGCGCGCAGATAGCAAGAGATCCTTTCATGAGATCTTGCGCAGAGATTCGAAAGATTCAAGAATCTCCGGTCTCCAATCTTGCTGGGAGATCCTACCAACAGATCCTACCCACACATCTTGCGGACATCCTGCAGAGATCTTCCACAGATATTTGGTTGGGTTTGTGTAGATATCCACTCAGCAGATCTTGCGCAGGTCCTGCCAAGGTTTCAAGTCGAGACATCTTGTAGAGGATGCTCCACAGATCGTATCCCCACAGACCCTGCAAAGATCCTTCCACAGAGATCTTGTCCAAGAATTGTCAGAAGCGCTAGTGAATTTTCTTTCGATAAATTCGCTTTGAGCGCCAGACCCGACCTTCTATAGAGATTCTGCGCGCGTTTTCTGCGGCTACTTTCATGTTACCTGCGTGGCTTCTTGTCCCACTTTTGACCACTGTATGGGGTCACTTGCCGGGAGTGGTTTTAGGGCGCCAACAACAAAGTTGAAGGGTTTTGTTTACCGTGGGTTGACCAGTTTGAGTTGGAGGCTTCGGGGGCTTTGTTCCAGCTAAGGAAATAAGGCGATGAAGCAGCCCTCGCAAGATGGCTACAGCATGACTCTTTGTTTGCACTAGCTTTGGCCCCCACCGTGGCGTTGCGTTGGTGGATGCGCATCTCAGGAAGAAGTAGCCGTTGAGCACGATTCGACTGTGTTCTGTAGCTAATGACCGGGCTAAGCCGGCTGCGAACCGCAGCGGGAGGCTCCTCTTTGTACAGCAGTGTTTGCGTCGTTTGACAGCGGGTGTGCGAAGGCTATGCCGCTGGTACCAGCCAAAGGCTGTGTATCTTGAGTCTGAGTTTTGTTTCTTCATGACACGTGCGGTGACACCACTTTGCGATGCTGGCTGACAAAGACTCCGTGTTGTTTCCGACTCGGTCTTTTGAAAGAAGGCAGCAAAGTGGAGGAAGAAGGGAGGAGGCGGAGGAGGAGGAGGAGGTCCATCTAAATATTTTCTAGCAATTCTTGCTTGCTGCTGGCAAGCGATGCCATCACACTCATTCGTCAGGTTATTCACTTGAGCTATAGTTCGTGCCCAATGCATACGGGCTTTTGCTGCTTGAGAGAAGATGCCTTGAACGTGTGTTCAAACCAAACCAGGAAGCAATGCCCGGTGCAAGATCCGTTCAGCAAGTTGATGAAGCAGATGGAACACAAGAATATCATTGAATATGTGCATCCTTCAATTTTTAAATCGTGTCCCCTTTCTTCTTTGGTCTCATCTTGGCGTTCTTTGAAGTGTAGCCAGAAGCTTTGCGTTGGGGGCTAGAGTTGGTAACGTGAGTCATCGCGAAACCAATGGTTTGCTCCTTACTGAACTGGACCTGCAGAAAAAAATGCTCGGGTTCGTCGCAACGCAGAGCTTGGCGGAATAGGCTCGCTGCGGCTATTCATGGCGACGCACCGTGGATGATGCCAATCGGCATGTTTGCTTTCCAGGAAAAACAGCTCGCTCTCCAGCAGCTTGCGAGCTTCTCAGCCGTATAGTCCTCGACGCGGTCTGTGTCGGAATAATCCAGGGTTGCATCCCTATTGTGTTGGTGGAGTCGTTGAAAACTCGGACCCCAGCTCAGGATATTATGTGTCATGCTGTAGAATGAGCAATGACGACGTTGGGGCAGAGTGGGGAGTCTTCGGTCTGGACAGTGGTGTTGGTCGGGGGATGGTGACCAAGTGCCCCAAGTGCCCTAAGTCCCTCAGCTGCCCAATCGTATTTTTTGAGGCCACGTCCGGCTGCCAAATTCTTCACCGTGACCCGAGGCGATCTTGTGTTTGCTCTGGAAACTTGGCTCGAGTTCCAGCGTTCCAGTAAACATTCAGTCTTCCAGTCTTGCAGTGTTCCAGTGCTCCAGTGTTCAAATTGTCCGTTCCAGTTCCAGTGGTCCTTCCAGTGTCCCAGTGTTCCGAGTGTTTGCAGAGTTCCAGTGTCGCAGTGTTCCAGTGTTTCAGAACTCCAGTGTTCCAGTTCTCCAGTGTTTTAGTGGTCCAATGTTCCAGTGTTCCAGTCTTGCAGTGTTCCAGTCTTCCAGTGTTCCGGTGTTCCGGTGTTTCAATGTTACAGTGTTCCAGTGTTCAATGTTAACAAGAAACACTGGAATACTGGAATACTCGGACATTGGAACACTAGGGCACAGGAACGGAACTCTGCAACACTGGAAATCTGACTGCAAAAGCTGGAACACTGCAACACTGGGAACGCTGGGACATTGGAACACTGGAACACTGCAAAATCTGGAACACTGGAACACTGGACTGTGACTGGAACAGTAGAACACTGCGTGGAAGACTGGAACATTGGAAAGTTCCGGCGTCGCAGTGTTCCAGTGTCTCAAGTGTTCCAGTTTTCCAGTGTTGCAGTTCCACTGTTTGCAGTGTTCCAGTGTTCCAATGTTCCAGTTTTAGTGTTTTCCAGTGTTCCTGTGTTCCGGTCTTCCAGTGCTCCCAGTGTGCGAGAGTTCCAGTGTTCCAGAGTTCCAGTGTTGCAGTGTTCCAGTGTTCCAGTGTTCCAGTGCTCCAGTGTTCCAGTGCTTCAGTGTTCCAGTGTTCCAGTGTTCCAATGTTCCAGTGTTCCAGTGTTCCAGTGTTGCAGTGTTTGCAGTGTTCCAGTGTGCTTGTGTTCCAGTCTTCCAGTGAAGGGCAGGACGAGCCCTCGTCCAAGGTGAATGTCTTGCTGCAGGCCAGTCCAGCCCATGCAGCAATATGCATTTGCTCGTGGAACACTTTTGCCACTTAAGGCTTTTTACACTTGACGAGCTGGACAACAGACTCAAAAAGGAAAGGCTTTTTTGGTCAGCTTTCTTTTGTGTGTATCAAACACCTTGGCAGCACTGAATCGGGCCATGTCCCAAAAGAAGCTCCTGACCGAAATCCAGTGGGCTGTCCACGGCGCGAAAAGAGAAGCAGGTAACTGGGGGTCCTTGCAGGTCATTCGCTTCAAAGCTAATTAGCGTATGTGGCTCTGGGTCAAGCATACCGAGCAGCCGAACAAAGCCCAGGTTGGTAAGTTGGGAACAATGAAGATCCAAAACCTGCAATCTTTCTTGGTCTTTTTGAAAAAAGGGTATGGCCAAAGCCTCAGCTCCTCGATTTTTCCTAGGAAGCGTCCCCCCAGACAATGAGAAAATAAGACGGAGAGATGGAGATGGATGCTCCAAAAAGATCTCAGCGTCGATGTTTTCCGAATGTAGGCCCCCCATGCCAAAGCCCCAAAATGCTGGTGACAGCAACACTCAAGCAAAGTGTGGAAGATCTTTACGGGTCAGAGTGAAGAAACTCCAGGTAGGGCTTGATGATTTGAATTCAACAACCAATGAGGAGTGAAGGAATCGCAGAAAGGCATAAATCACTGTCATTTGAGGTCCCGAGAGAGGTTAGGTTTTGTCACAGATATTCAGGCCTTAAACACGGTATATTGTCCCATGTTTTCGCAAAATCTCCGATTGTGTGAATCAAGCAGAGGTTCATTTCAACATGTCCAAAGCACTTAAGCAACGTTTGCAATGTCCTACAATTTTAGTTAAGTTTACGCGTTGCAAACCAATTAATTGTGAACTTCAAGCATGTTTTATACGATAATCTCAAGCAGCTCATGCAATGTATAAATAACAATGCGATATCTTATGAAAACACTTTGAAGCCCACGCGTCAGCATACTCCCTGCACCAGAAAGCTTCAAGACGGCACTCCCTGCATCAAAGAAGGAAAAGACACCGCTTGAAAATGGAGACAAGTTCCATGAATGTTGCATTGGTGCCATGTGACGGTCAGGTCTACAAAGTACTGAAATTGTCAGTAGATGACCTGCCATGAAAGAAGTGCCGCTCAGGTGAAAAATCAGATGTTGTAGCTCGTGCAGGTTTTGTTTTTACCCAAGTTCTCAATGGCAGCATGGGGGGGATTCCTGAATTCGATGATTCGTGAAGAAGAAAAAGGGCATTTAATTTGGAAGGTCTATGATTCATCAGGCTAGCAAAAGAAACTACAAGACGCGCTCGGCACCACCCTGTGCAATAGCGCCCAGCAAGAGCAAAGCCGCGCAAAGCCGTCGCATTGGAGTGCCCAGTGAGAGTGTGAACTTCCGCTCAGGCTTTCATACTGAGATCATCCAAGCAACTTTTTCCAAAAAGGCATTTCCTCTCCGAGGAGTTTGCTTTCAACTGGTACTTGGCAGCCATTTAGGCTTAGCATGTCCAACAGGTAGGCTCTCTTAGCCATCAGGTATTATGCTTCTTTTCATCCTCCCTTTGGTGTGGCTGGGTGCCGCGAAAGAATGTCAGTCGGCTGAGCAATCGGCCGCAGTCTTTGAAGCTTTGAGCCCCATCTATCAAGAAACCTTGGACCTTGCAGAGGAAGATCGATCGTTGGTCGACCTCAGCGTTGAGAAGTTGTACTTTGGGGGCTATGAGGTCAAATGCTTTGAACTGCACAGCTTGCTCACAAATGTGAAACGCCACAAGTTCAAGGCTTCTGTTCTGAGCATGGCAAGGACAGTGCTGAAGCTTTCTCATGAATTAGATGAGACAAACATAGAATTCATCAACAAGGGCATCAATCTTTTAGCCGACTTCAATAACATCCAGGCAAAGGCAGCGACACTTGGAGCAGCCGCTTCTGCTTTGGGCAAAGCAATCCTAACCGACCCTGAAATGAGGAAATCCGTTCGAAGAGCCTTGGCTGGAGCAGGACGGGCCGAGAATTTTCTGAGAATGAACGAGGCTCTAGGGCTGGCATGGAGCAGCCTGAGCAGCAGCCTTCTGCAAGGCACGATTTTCCAAACAGTTCCAGAATGGTTTCAACACGCCTGCCAGAAAAGTGGATGTCTGAAACACCTGTGGAGGAGGGTTGGCCAAGGCAAGAAATTAGCCAACTTTGCGGGAAAGATGAATGTGGCAATTCAGGCCACAATAGTGATGTCAGACAGTGTCCTTGCCATGTACGAATGGTCTCAGGGCAAGATGTCTAATAAGCGCGCTGTCATTAACATTAAGGTGGCGTCCAGCCTAGCAGGTACCGGTGGTGCATGGGCCGGTGCCACAGGTGGGGTCGCGGTGGGTGCAGCTATTGGTAAGGCCATGGGTGACTATGGCGCAGCCATTGGTGGTGGCGTTGGTGGAATGGTGGGGGTCATGGTCGGCTACATGTTCCTCTCTTCTATCACTGAGCACTTCTTAGCATCTTGGATGGATGTGGCTCCTGAGCAACGAATGGAAGAGGCTTATCGCCTTTTGGGCGTCCATCACAGCTCCTCCAACGCAGACATCAACCGAGCTTTCCGACAGAAGGCCTTGGAACTGCATCCTGACAAACGCGCACCAAAAGATGAGGCTGAGAAAGATCTCTTCGAGAAGGAATTTGTAGCTTTGAATGTGGCTGTGGAGACTATCCGAGTGGGACGCTTTACGCAACTCGAAAAATCCATGGCCGAGGATGATTTGTTTGATTCTGAACAGGGGTCTGAGGAGGTTTGAAGAGCAGCATAAATCAGCTTGATTTTTGATTCATAGCCGCTAGACCCTGCCGGTCCTAGGTGCCGCAAACCCATGGTTTCACCGCTCCCCTGATGCAAAATGGCCTGCTTGGCTTCAGAAGCAGCTGAAATGCTTGTAGTGCAGCATACTCTTTCTGCAAAATCGTGCCCACAAATCTATATAAATGTTTGTTCTTTTCTGGATGTTTGTGCATCAGGAAGTTAGAAGTGCTTAAGCCACCCCTTGTCCGCGAAGGCGAAGGAACAGAGCCAGGCCTGGGGGTGTTTCAAGATAGTTGTGTCATGTGTTTCTTGTGTAGCCAGGCATTTGGCGTTGATTGGAAAGGATCGCTTGGATTTTCATGTCGAGGAGTTCGCTTTCAAATAGTACTTGGCGTAAGCCATTTAGGCTTAGCATGTTCAGCAGGCAGGCTCTCTCAGCCATCAGACATTATGCTTTTCTTTATCCTTCCTCTAGTGTGGCTGGGTGCCGCGAAAGAATGTCAGTCGGATGAGCAATCGGCCGCAGTCTTTGAAGCTTTGAGCTCCATCTATCAAGAAACTTTGGACGTTGCAGAGGAAGATCGATCGTTGGTCGACCACGGCATTGAGAAGTTGTACTTCGAGCACGAGAGCAAATGTTCGCAGCTAGCAACGTTGCTGAGAAAGCACAGGCGCCCTGAGATGTTCAAGGCAGCCGTGAGAAGTAAGATGGAAAGGAAAATGAGGATGGCGGATGAGCTTAATGAGACGAACTTTGTTAGAAACCGCATCTGCTTTTCTGAACGCACCCGATCGTGGGATCTATTTGACGTGATTTTTGGCCCTCTTTGGAGCGTTGGTGCAATTTACCAGTGGTGGATGGGAGATATCTCACGCGAGCGTGCTAAGATATTGATAGCCGACAACTTTTTCTCCACCTTGCCTACAATTGGTGTTTTTTTTGGTGGACCCCTCGGTTTGGCAGGAGGCACTTTGGCCTAGTTCTCCACCTGTTCCACGAGTCCTTTCTAGCAGCTTGGATGGACATACTCCCCGACCAGGGAATGGAGGAGGCTTATCGGCTTTTGGGTGTCCATCACAGCGCCTCCAACGAGCTTTCCGACAAAAGCTTGGAACTCTATCCCGGCTTCCGCAATCCAAAAAGCAAGTCTGAGGTTGATGGCTTCAAGAAGGAATTTGAGGCATTGAATGTGGCTGTGGAGACTATCCGAGTGGGACGCTTTACGCAACTCGAAAAATCCATGGCCGAGGATGATTTGCTTGATTCTGAACAGGGGTCTGAGGAGGTTTGAAGAGCAGCATAAATCAGCTTGATTTTTGATTCGTAGCCGGTTCCGAGGCGGGCCAAGGACAAGCAGAGCAAGGGACTTTGCGTGCTTAGTGCAGCATGTCTAGGCGCTGCGGCAGAAAGGTCCATAGTTTCACCTCTCTCGATGCAAAATGGCCTGCATGGCGCGAGCCTTTGGGCATTGAGTGGTGTGTTTGCAATCCTGTAAAGACAGCATCGTTTGCATCGTGCTGCATCGTTGGAGCTTGGGTTCCAGGTCTCAGCGGCTGACTTCGCCCAATTGTTTGGTCTGCAAAGCGTCAAAGTGTCCTGGCATGAAGGTAGATCAATGGGTTGGACCCTGAATTCGAAAGAAACATGCATGTCAAAGCTTCTCCGTGATTTACTGTTCTTTTTTTGAGTTTCCTGGCAAGAAGTTGCACGCAGCTGTGGAATTCCCTATCATTCAGAATGTATTGCTACACTAGCGTGCTGCTTGGCAATTCAGTTCTACATCGATATTTCGCGAATCATATGAAGAAGCTGCCCTTCTCTTGACATGTGAGGTATGGTCTGCTTTATCATGATGGGCGGGCTGGAGCGTGCAAATGAGATCAGGCCCAATATGCTTGTTCATTTGTCCATGGGTCAAAAAGGGGGGAAACCAAAAATATTCAAAGATATATTGGTAAAAGAAATCATGAAGAGAAACTGTATCCCTATTGTTTTCTTTTGGTTGATCCATGGTCATTTGTCCTTTGATCCATGGCCGAAGGATCTTTTGAGCCCGTACCGGCGTTGTGGAGCAGCTAGCCGTCCATGGGGGTGACTCGAGGTGATGCATTGAGTGAGGATGATGCTTCTAGGAGGGGCATATGAGATTTTGGACTGGACCCAAGCTAACACACAGGTCGGCGGGGGGGGGGGGGGGAGATTTGAAGGTTCATGCCTTTTGTTGCGGAACTTGACAAAGTCCATTCATAGCTGGGGCTGGGAATTTGAAAGAATGAGCCTCAAGACAAATATCCAAAGCAACGAAGCCATCACTCGAACTCAGTTTTTCATATTTTGGGCGATCTCCTTTCTCACCCCCAAAGCAAAACATAAAGCAACAGACAGCGGCCTCAAAAGACTTGATGACAGAAAACAACTTGTCAGACCCTAGACCTCCAAATACCTTCTTAGAAGGTACTTAACCTCCTTCAAGAAAACACCCCAAAGCACGTTCTTAGAAGGTATTTGGAGCTCTAGGGAGAAAACAACAACCTGTGACGCCCTTGTTTCCTTTGACTGTTTTGCCTCTCTCCTTAGATGTCAGGGGTGGTTTCAACTACTTCGATGAGGAGGACATCGAGGACATCTCGTTTTCTTTGTCTGGGGGTCAAAGAGGCTCTTGCCAACTCTAGAAACTGTTGTTCAAGTTTCAAAAGACTTTGCTCTGTTTCGTGATGCTTTGTTTTTGCCCAAACACACACACACACCCAGAAACTTAATACCACTATTTGAGGAAGAAATATATAGAAATGAATGAAAGCCCACGTGAGACCCCCAAGAGCCTTTGAACTGTTCTTTTTTCCGCAAGAATCACTTGGAATCCCTACTTAAAGCTTGGAAGTAGCCCTTTCGGCGGGATGCCCAAAATGTGCTTCGAAAGTTAATCTTGGAAAAATCCCGAACACCCGACCGCAAACTAGGAGGCTCAGACTGCCCCCAAAAAGCTACCAGTTAGGCCGGTTTTGACCCACTTCTGTCGTATAATGACTATATTGTACCTTTTGGCTGATGATTACTACTCTGTTGCAGTCTATATTAAAGGGAAACATTGGATGTTCACCGTTGGGTACCGATTGTGCCAAAAACAGGAGCATACGAGCCTTTGACTGGCGGCCGCTGGGCGTGTTTTCTGAGGAAAGGATGGGCTGTTGTACAAGGGAAAAGCTCTTGCTTTCTCAGTTGAAGAAGAGAAGTCCACTTTTTTTTAACACAAGTCTGGATATTGTTTATATGGGCCTTGTCCTATCGATGAAAAAACATGTTGTGACACGAAGACCTGTTTAGCCCTCCAGGTTTTAAAGGGCTCGACCGGGGGGGCATCCTCTGAAACGAGCTTTTCTTGAGGGACTGCGATTGGAAACACGAGCCTGAGAAAAGGCGCGCGACAATACGCTGCGGCGCTGTGTATTGGCAAGCAGGAAAGCCGAATGTTTGTGTAAGGATGATTGAAGGAAAAGTTTGGGAAGGTGATTGACGACACCAGCTTCTCACCGTATGGCTCCTACCAGGTCCTAGTCAGCTTTTGAATCAACAGCCCAGGAACTGGAACTCTCTTTGACCTGGTTCGTATGTTCATTCCTCTTAAGCTGCCAGGGAAGACATCATTTGCAGTCTAGAAGCCCAGGAGGATGAATGTTCCTATTGGATTCAAACCATCGAGTATCACTTGGAAGAGGGGAAGAGAGACACTCTGTTGAGATGAAGCATGAAAGTACATTGACATGAGTTGTTTTGCACCTGACAAGATGGAAAAAGATTCACAAAAGAGATAGCTTTAGGTCAGCTTTCTTTTGGGTATATCAAAGTGGCTTGGCAAGACGAAATTGGGAACCGACGTTTGAATCCAAACTTTTCCAACAGACCTTATTGCCCCCCACCTGAAGCTTCCAGAAACCCCAGAGCCCACGGGGTGCCCTCCGAAGAGTAGGCTTTTCTCTGCCCATGGCTGAGGGCGGATCCACCAAATCTTTGCTCGTTTAAACGAACTAAGGTCATGGTTCTATGAAGACCTCATGGCACCATCTCATGACACCTCATAAAGCCCACAAAAGCGCTATGAGAAGAAGTCCCCTACCTCTCGTTTCCTCTCTGCCTTTGAGGATGAGACTGAGCTCCTGAACAAACTCTCGGCCTTTTGGTGGAAGATGTCTACCGTAGTCGGAAGCGGTCTTTTTGTTGGGTCAAAAAGTCGCCCAAATGGAAAGTGTCACAGTGGGACTTGTGCCTCGAAAGGCTTTTTTTGCTAAAAGCCTTTGAAAGTGGTGTGGGAACATCACAAGATTAAAAAGAACAGCGATGCTGAAATCCAGAAGAAAGAATCATTGGTTACTGAAAACATTGCCATCCCCCCAATTCCTTAAACACCGTTGCATGAAGAAGAAGAAGAAGAAGAAAGAGCAGAAGAAGCAGAAGCAGGAGGAGGAAGAAGAAGAAAGGAAGAGGAACAAAAACACTGCAAGAATGGGAAAAGATGCTGCAATAGGAAAAGTCCTTGCAAATTGGATCCCAAACTTCCAGAAGGTGCCACTATTTAAACTATCATAACCATGCTCAACACCTTACTCAACACCTTGAAGAAAAAAAAACGAATCAACCAATACTTGGATCCCCTTGCGGTGTCAAGGGCACGCATTTCCGAGCAGCAAGGATTCACAAGTCTTTGACCGCGGCTGGCTTTCGGCGGTGGTTTTTGAAGGTTTGGGGATGGTTTGGGATGGGTTTTTGGGAAAAGAAGAGCTTCGATTGGTTGCTCTCTTCAGTTTGGACATGTTGTCTTTTTGGGGATGGATGATCCGCAAAAAAAATGGATCTCGACCACCGTGGAGAAGAGCGATCTGCCCAGGGGCCCAAGTTGCCAGTTCCAGCTTGGGATGGATAGCTGGAGGCCGGTGGTCTTTTCTTTATGGGAGTCGGGTATACCTCCGAAACAGAGCCTCCCAGGAGGCCTTGGCTCAAAAGAGCTTTGGCGGTGGAGCAAAGAGGTACCGTTGAAGCGCCGAATAACAATGGAAAAGCAAAGGTTTGGCTACTTTGATTGTAGGACAAAGAGGTTTTGAAGCTCTGAAAAGTTCCTGGGATGTTTCTGATCACCTCCGGTGATGCGGCCGCACTTTTGAGTCGTCTGGTTCCGTCTGGTTCTCTCTAAGTCGTCATTGTGCCGTAGGCTCTTGCGCGACAGGCCATAGGTCAAAAAGCACAGCGCCCCCAAAAACCAGAGGTCTTTGTTCAAACTGGAGTGGCTTTCGCTTTCGGGGCAGCACCAAAACCCAAAACCCTAAAAATCCCAAATCCCTGGACTTTTGGACTTAGGGTTTGAGCTTTTGGACTTAGGGTTTGGGCTTTTAGACTTAGGGTTTGGGGTTTGGGCTTTTAGACTTAGGGTTTGGGGTTTGGGCTTTTGGACTCAGGGTTTGCCTAAACCCCAAAAATCCAAAACCCTAAACCCTGAAACCCTAAAAATCCAAAACCCGAAACCCTAGAAATCCAAAACCCTAAGCCCGAAACCCTAAAAATCCAAAACCCTAAGCCCTAAAAAACCCAAAACCTTAAACTCTTTAGGGTTTAGGGTTCAGGGTTTAGTAGCACCCCGTTACAGTGTGTTCATTGGTTTTCATTGACTTTTGCAGAAAGCTTCAGGTTTGTATAGCTCCTCCCCCTGAAAAGTTAAAAACAATTCAAGGCAATGAAGGGTCTATGTTGGCAATAGAATTTCCCAACTGAATGAAAGTTTTTAATCCCCCAGATTTATACTATTAGACTTTCTCTTTCCAAGTTGTTCTTTCTAGATCCAGATTGGTATACTTTCCCTTTGAAAGTCCCTTTTCAAGTTTTCCTCCCCAGATTTAGATTGATATATTCTCCCTTACAAAGGTTTTTTTCTAAATAGCAAATTCTTTTGAACATGTTTTTAATTTGTATTTTTTCATTCCAGATTTATATTGATATATTTTTCCTTTTAAAGATTTAGAATGGAAAAAAAGACGAAGACACACCGTAATTATTTTTATATGTCTTTGTAGTTATAAGTTGTTTTTCTTAAACCTAAAACCTATTTAAAAACTAAGGTTGTTTTTGTTGCTTTAGATTTACTTTTTAAAGTTATTTTAAATAGCTTTTAGTTGAAATTTGGATATTTTTTATGAACAATTTGTATTTTTAATTGATATTGTGTTGTTTGATAAATTTGTTGTTTAAAGTTGTTTTTGTATTTATAAATGTTATTTTTTAGATTTATTTAAAATAATATATGGTTTGTTTAAATTTAGATTGATATATGTTTATTGTTTTTTTTAATATGTGCTAAACGTTATTTTTTGTCTAAAAATAGTTTTATGATTTTTTTGGTTTTTTTAATTGGTATATATTTGTAAAACAAACATGTAAATATTGCTTATTAGATTTAAATTGCTATATATTAAAAACATAGATTGATATATGTTTTTTTTTGAAATTTAT